TAAATCAATGTTTATTTTATCACAATCATTTACTGGCTTATAGATAAGCAGTTCATGTATACACACACAAACATATTTTGTCCACAGTTCCACTTCGTTATATTGTATGTTACAATGCTATGCTTGCTAGCATTGGTTTAAAGAACAAACGATCCTTTTATTATTGAAAGTTTCTCTATTCCTACATCAAAGATAAAATTTCATTTCCATGTGGATCACCCGAATATATTACTAAATTAATCCTTCGTAGGAGCGAACTTATACTAATATGCCTTGAACCATTTTCAGTTCAGATAACATTACTTTTACCTTTGGATGCTGTGTTACCCTTCTTGTTCAATTGATAAATGTGGGAAATTGTGATGTAACTGAAACATTCTTCATCAAAGTCCTAACTTTCCCAAATCTTCATACCAACAATGTCAAAAACATTTAACATGAGCCATTTATCATATCTTTTCAAACAAATTGAACGAAGTATGCACAAATTGTTGCTCATTCAAGATTGCCACTCTTTCAACACTCATCAATCAAAGAAGTGCATATTTAGTTTACACATCTCTAGCAATATTTTAACTCCCACAACAATAAATACAAAATCCTTATAGATAAGAAAAACTTAAGCTTAAAAAAGTATAGACCTATCAAGCTCCATTATCCATTGTCCAAAATTTGGCTACTGTTTATTGTTAAAAATAATATCCAACTCCCACTGTTTGTATCACCAATTTGAATATACCTCTATTTTGGCTAAACCTTACCAACATACACTACATTTACTTGGCCTGTTATAATAAATTCACTCACTATTTTAACAACAAAAAAAGTAGAATTATATAAGCAGCTAGTATTAAAAATTAAACTATTTTAATTGAGGCATTTTACCGAATATGGTATATGTATGAAGACACACACAAAATATAGAGGGGTAAAGAGACAGATTTTAATTGAGGCAATATAAATGAGAAACAAATCACATAATATAAATAAGAAACACAATCAAATCCAAATGAGAAACAAATCACATAAAAATTTAGACACCCAATGAAAACCCAAATAAAAATTTTCAGGCATTTTGGAGACCCATTTTAGAATGTGAGGCATTTTGCAGAACATAGTGAATGCATACAAAGAGACACACATAAAACAAACAAAAAAAAGCCGTGCCAATTATTTTCTTCTTCCAATTTTTCATTTTTTTTATAAAAAAAAAAACGCCCTCTATTTGGTTGCCTAGAAAGCTGAACCATACATGTAAAATTAGAATTCTCTACTCAGAAACCCACTTCAGTCTTCGTTCGAATGATTATGGGTAATTAATTGGCACAGGTTTTGTTAGACATGGCTTTCTTAGACATGGCTTCTTAATATATATATATATATATATACACACTGGAATCATACATAAATGGAATCATACATAAATAGGGGGTTTGGGATTTGGAATCATATATATACAGGGGTTTTGGAATCATATATATACATATATACACATCCATATATATATACATTCATATTGGAATCATATGTATACATAAATATACATCCATAATCATCCATAATCATATATAAAATCACATAATCATACATAATACACACATGTCTTCTTTAAATAATGCATGTCAATGATATATATAATGGGTTAATTTTGAGGGCGTTACATAGTTGCTCCATTTGGTCGGAAGAGAGAAGATGACGATTAGGAAGAGAGAATGGAGGAAGAGAGAAGATGAAGAGACTAATAGGGGGTTTGGGTTCGGTCGCCTGCAAGGGTTGATGGAGAGAGAGAGAGAGAGAGAGAGAGAGAGAGAGAGAAGGTGGGTCTGATTTCAAAATTTGAAATCAGAAACAAAGAGATGAGAGTGTGTGTGTGAAAGATAGGGGCTGTGGGTTGAAAATGATTTTGGACCAAGTAGAGAGTGAGGCACTGCTGAGTTCAATCCAATGGTTGATATTTTGACAAAGGGACAAAAGTCCCATCAGAAATAAAAAACAAAGTTGTTTTGTTATATAGATATATATCCATGCTCTAAGTAATTAAAAAGTGAAATAAAATATATTAAAAAAGAGAAAAAAAAAAGGAAAATAGAATGAAAGAAGAATAGACGTGCCACCTAAAAAAGAGTTTAATGAGATATTAGGACTGAGAATTTGGAGTTTTTTAAGAGATCACTACATTTGGTTATATATATATATATTATATATATTATATATACATATAGGCCTTGTTTGGGGTACTCTAAAAAAGTTAAAAAGTCAAAAAGTCACTTTCTTATTTAAATCACATCATCTTATTTAAGTTATATCACCTTTCTACCACATCACTTCAAACTCGACCCATACTCAACCCATATTTCACAAAAAATCAAAAAGTACATTTATTTAGATCATCCCAAACTACCTCATAGTATAGTATATAGGTAGGTATAGATAGATATATAGAATATAGATATAGATGTAGATAGATAAGAGCTTTTATTAATATTAGAACATTAAACAATTTTTTTTTAGCCTAAAACTAAAATAGTCAAAAAGCCAACTTACTTCCCAAACGAACCCAAAGAGAGAAAATTGCAATAATTCTTTGAAAAAAAAGAAGAAGAAACAAAAAACTCGATTCTCTTTTACTTCGAGCTTTCATTCTTCAATCCACTTATTCTTTTCTCCATATACCTTCCCACCAATAAATAGAGACAAATAAAAATAATTGAACCATGTCTACAAAATGCTAGTACCATGCAACCAAACAATAAATTGAATTTTTACTTTCCTAAGCTAAATGAGATTTTAGTTAATGGGTAAAAAATTATACTTGAAATTCTTCAAAATCTTGAAAAATGTCATTTTTTTAAGAAAATTAAGATATATATGATAAGATTGTCACCATTTTTGTTTTTCCTTTTGAATTTTCTGTATTAGAATTTCTTAGTGAAAATGTTGAAATGTTTTAAAATCATGATCATATCTTGTTGCTTACTTGTATTTCATATTTCTATGATTATATATTTTTAAGCTTTGGCTTTGCTTTCCTTAAAAGTAAAATATGTCATTTATATAATCCATCAAAATTAATGACGAGTAAGCTAAGGGTATGTTTGATTGGACGGACTGGATGAAGGAGATTAGAATCAATTGAACTTGAATCCTGTAACTGTGAATCCCCCGGACTATTTGGTTTGATTGGATATGTATCATGTGTTTGTTTTTTCATGGGATTATGTGTCTAAAAATGACTATTTTTAGTGAATTCAATGTTTGGTTGGACGGAGTAGATAGGATAAATGAGCAAAAGACTATTTTACCCTTTTTCAATTGTTTACTAAAAAAATAATAATAATTAAACAATGAAATTAAATAAAACATCTATTAACATTTAAATAATGAAATTAAATAAAATATAAACAAAATTTTAAAATAAAACATCAATAAAATATCTATAAAAAATTATTTAAAAAAAACACCAATAAAAAGTTAAATAAAATTGTTTTATTTTTAAATTGAGACATTTAAATTTTATTAAATTTTACTAAATATAATACATAATTAAATAGTAGATCGTCAAAATGGTCATTTCACCACCTAATCTCAACAGTAAATAATCCTTTCAAAATTGTCCTACAACCCCCCCTAGGATAGTATAATCCCCCCATATGGGGGATAAGGAGTCCGGCCGGCCTCCATGTCTGGCGGATTAAAAAAAAAAAACAAGCGTCGAATTGAATGCTTTCCTTGGATTACAATCCTCACAGTAAATAATCCCACCTCTTATCCCCCAATCAAACAAAAGCTTCGTTTGGGAAGAATGAGTTGGGTGAGTTTGGAGCTATTTTAGTCACAAAAAGACAAAATAAGTTTTTTAGTTCAATAAGACAAAATATTACATCCAAATCATAATTATTACGTTTTTTCTCTCACAAAAAGTCAAAAATAGCCAAAAAGTCAAAAAGCCAACCAACTTCCCAAACAAACCATTTTAGTCTTGTTTGGGAAGGACTTTTTGATTTTTTTGACTTTTTGTGAGAGAAAAAATATAATGATTATAGATTGGAGGTGATATTTTGTCTTATTAAGTTAAAAATCCTATTTTGGGTGTTTTAAGAAGATGGTTAAAAACTATTTTTTTTGTCTTTTTTTGACTTTTTTGTGAGAGGGAGAAGTAAGTTAAAAATTGAAAAGTGATTTTTACTCCACTTATCAAAATAGGCTTTTATCTTTTTGTGACTAAAATAGTCTCAAATCCAACCCAACCCTTCTTCCCAAATGAAGTAAAAAAAATCTCTTCCAATTTCCTACAAAATCCCTCTATATTTTGACACATAAATTCACGTATAATTTCATTTGATCGAGGTATGAATGCCCATGATCTTCTCCATATAGTGGTGGATTTCATTGCCGACGTCTAACCGGCAGGAATACATGCATATGAAAGGAGTTCTCCTAACAATTTTAAAGATAACTTTTAAGTCAATTTTTTTTTTTTTTAAAATATAAGAAAATTAAAATGCTGTTGTAAGATTTGTACATTATTGTGTAATATGTATTATTTAGCCTCGCACAAATACTACACCATCTTTGTGGAAATAAAATCCCACCTCCCAACATATGAAATTACATTTTTACCCATACTAATCCAACACTATTTATACAAAATACAAGGGTAATTTTGGAAATAAACCATGAAAAGCACCATAAGTATATATTTAATTTTCACATCTTTCCTTTTTAAATATAATTTATAGCAGAGAGAAGCAAACAGACAAGTCATCATCGTCATCATCAGCTAATGAGTCAAACCCTCCCCTCTCTCGCTCTCTCTCTATATCTATATCTATATCTATATCTATATCTATATCTATAATATGTATTTCTATGCACGATTCGCTCTCTTGTTCAAGCCCTAATTTCTCGAGGGGACGACATTTCTATTCAAACATCAATTTTTTCTTTCATTTTCCGTCAAAGTTCCGTACTTTCCGTGGGGTTCCAGGGGCCCCCCCCCCCCAAACCCTAGTTTCGAAAAAGCTCGACTTTAGCAGATTCAGTCTCGTTTAGGTTCTTGATTTTTGAGGTACACGGTTGATTTCGCTTGTGAATCGGTTGATTTTACGATTTGGGGCTGGGTTCTGCAGAATTTGTTCAGACTTTTAAATTTTATTGCAATTCAGTGGGTTTATTGTATTGGGTTTTGTAGGTTAATTATATTTATTGCTTTTTTTTTTTTTTTTTTTTTTCTCTTCTTGCTGCTGTTTGATTTTGTCTTGCATTTCTCACTGAGTGAACTGTAACTGATTTAACTTGCATGGTTTGCTTCAAGGGAAGTGGTTCAATTAATGAATATATGTTATGGGGATTACACTAATTTGATCAATCAGCCACTGCCTGAAACTTTAGGATTAGAGTTTGAAATTATAATTTTTGATTGGGGAAACATTATATGTGTTAATATTTTTTATATACATGCCAAAAGATATATATATATATATATATATATTTTGGTTAACTCATTAAAAAGGCAGTTTTTTTTTGTTGAGATATATTTAATGTTAGCTGAAAGATTGTAAATTTATGTCGATGACTGCGGGAAACACGCCATTCGATGTCATCCTGAAACATTTTGGCATGGGGTGGAAGGATTATTCGAAAAATGGATTGCAACTTCTCCGAAGTATCTATCCATACATTTGTTTGAATTGTAGTTGGAATAGGGTTTCAGCTCTTGTTGAACTGGTTTTAGTTGCTTTATGGCTTGGTTTGAATGGAAACCATATCAATTTCAAATATTTATTGTTGGGTTTCCTCTGGTTTGGCCAATAAATGGTAATCTGTACCCCTACTGGGCTTGAACTTTGATTTTAAAGTTTAATTTATTCTAGTAGTTTTGTTCTTATTAAACTGGTTGGAAAACTAGTCTTGTTTATTTTGGGGTTCTATTGTATTCTGCAGTATGTGTTAAAATTTCCAATGTCACTATCACCTGCTCTATATTTATCCATATCCCTTGATGTATTATTTTCGTTGTAACGTCCAGTATGTTGTACAGCAGGTCAGACCATAGGGAAACCATACGAGTGGTTCAGAATACTTGGTTCTAACTGGCTAAAGAACTAGCAGTGTAGACAAATGAATCTTACCGTTGAGGTTATAATAAATTTCTGTAACATTTGACAACTGGATTTTCCTTAAATTGCCTTCTGGATTTTCCTTAAATTGCCTTTTAGTTTAGTTTGACCTAATATTGTTTACTGTTGGCATTAGCCTTTATTACTCATGGTTTTGTTTTAACTTGGTTACCAATTTTTAGTGCAGTTTGACTTGCATAGCATCTTATAATTGGTCGATGCTGGAGGCAGTATGCCGGTATTAGTTGGGAGCAATGCAAAGGTATCATGGTGCCAGCTTCACTAGTGCAGTTAATAATAATACAATTGGTGGGGCATCAGCCAGGGATGCATCACGAGCAGATTCGTCTTCACTGCCTGCTAACTTCCCCCTGAATCAAAGGTAACACAATTGCCTTTCCTTATGTCTAGGTTTCATAATATCATCAGCATGCCCATGCATAACTCTTGATTGTATATTGAATGTCTGGTGTCAAAGATTGTTTGTCTATGTAAATGCTCTGTTGACAAGGTAATTGGTTAGACAACATTCACAAATATGTGAATTCTGTCAATGTTATGCAAATGATGTCACTATTACCTATGAAATTTCAATGCTTTTAGCTGGAACTGTCAAGAATTTCCTTGAGCCAACATCTTACAGTTAGTTACCATCTTGCTATCTCATGCCAATTGTGTGTTTTATCCAATGTTTCAAGTAACGGTTTGTGGTTGCCGAATGGTAACAGTGGTGGTAATGTGGTTGTGGGGTGTAATGGGTGTAATGTAACGATAGCCATGAATTTGAATTGTACATCTCACTGAATATGTAGAATTTGGTCAATGAGTTGGCTTTAAGTGTGTGAATTTCTGTGGTACGTGATATAGGAAATATATGGTATGGTTGTAATGAAGGTTTTGTTTCCAAAACCGGGTTTCAATGACATTCTGAGTTCACCTTTTACTCTATATTATTAATTTTCACGTTTCACTTATGTCATTTAGAACATTGAAGAAGGTGGAGTTACAGAGGACAGGTGGAGGAATACAAAATTTGGATTTAAAAAATTCAAAGTGTCCCTTAAAAAAGTTAACAAGAATAATTTGAAGTCTAACTCTAAGCAACAGCTTCCTTACCTTTCCTTTTCTTATGTAAGTGCTTCCTTTCTTTTTCTTTTCCCCTTGTTTTCTAACGCTTCTTGCGCTTGGCCCTTCCATCACATTCCATTAACCGTCTTCCCCCCTCATTCCACCCCTCTTTGCTTGCACATGATCCCCCATACATCTGAATCCTGCATGCACTTTCTTATGCCTCATATATCTTTAAAGGTCTGAATAATATTCACTTTGCTTGGTTTTCATTTTTTAAAAACAGTTTTCAGAAAATTCTACACTCTTATTTTCCGTATTTTTTTGTTTTTATTGAATTTTTTTAATATTTTATGCAAATTTTTTGCTTTTTAGACACACCTAACATAAATACACCTAAAAAGTAAAAAATTGTAAAAAAAATCTTTTAAAAATTCACTAAATACCAAAAATACAAGAATTTAGTACATTTTTTGTATTTTTATGTATTTCTTAATTTTTTAAAATATTTTTTCACAATTTTTTTACTGTTTAGACACATCTAAGTAAGGTGCATCTAAAAAAGTAAAAAAAATGTTTAAAATTTTAAAAATATTCACTAAAAACAAAAAAACACGAAAATCAAAAAACTCAATTTTCAAAAAACTTAATTCAGAAAACTCAAACCAAACACAGTGTTCTTTTTTCTTTCTCTGTGGATTTCTTTTCATTTCATTATCTGTTTCTGGTGCATTTGTAGTTCAGAATGGGGTTGACTTCCTGCCTTGGTTACCTTCAATTTTGTGTAGGAATGTTTACATAGTGAGCTATGTACTTTGGTCACGTGGTATGCTAAGGGTAGGGCTTAATGTCATGGAGTTGTAATTTGTTTCGGTAATCCTATCTGTGAAAGTGATTTCTTCCAACAAATAGATGGTTGATGAATCGTCATATAGTAAAATGCTCAACTTGGCCCTTTCTCTAGGAAATTGTAGTTCTGATTTAATCAGCACCCCATAGAAGTTATTGTAGTGCTTGGCCTTTACTCTAAAAACCTCTATATATGAGGTTTAAGTTCTTTATTATTGATATTTCTTATTATACAGGTGAAAATTAATGAAATAAATTGGAGAGAATTTATTGGATTCCTGTATATATTTAGTATATGTAACATACATGATTCGGATAGCAAAGGAATATTCAGGTTCAAAGGCCTAAAAAATGATAGTGAAGCGCATGCAGATTATAAGTGTATGCTGTAGTGTTTTTTTTCCCGGAGGGTGTGGGTGGGGTTGTATGAAAACGTCCCCCCTGTAATGTCCACTTTTGAGGGATTTACATGTTATGTGTGTTTTGCACCAAAAACCTATTCTGTGTAATTCCTTGTGTGCAGTGAACCATCATTGCTTCTTATTCTAACGATTCTTTATAGAGGAACTTTGTTTTAGGTGATTTGCGGGACAAGGTATTACTAAATTGCTTACTAATCATTTATGGGGATATGATGTTTTAATATCCCAGTTCAACCAACTTGCCAATTATGGGAAAAAAAATTTCATGACTGCTTGTACTGTCAGAAATGATTGTTTTACTAAGTTATCATTTGTAGGATATTTATCACCTTGGCTGGATTCAAGATTGTTAAAATCAGGATCCTACAAAGGATCGTTTTGGGGGTTTACCGGATTTGATTGTAGGATCTGATCGAGAATCGTAAGATAAGATCCTAATAAAATGATGACAAAATGTAATAATTAGAGTGACCCAAAAAAGCCCAAAGAACCAGGAAAAAAAGAAAGATACAGAGAACAGAATAGAACAAGAATAGAACAAGAATAAGACGAAGAAGAAGAAGCAGCAGCAGCACAGCATGAAGTCGAATGAAGAAACAGAGTAAACGAATCTGTTAAAAAAATAAAATAATATGAAATAAATTATTAAAAAAAACATAGAGAATACAAAAAAGGAAGAGAAATCCAGAAAACTTCGAACAGAAAGTTTAAAAAAAATAGAGAAAGGAGGAGGAAGAAGATTCGAACAGAGAATGATAAAAAAAAAGAGGAGGATGCTGGAAATCAGAGATTCAAAGCTTGAGAGCTATGAAGCACGGACACAGACATGGATACTACATATAGTAGTTTCAAAAAAATTGAGATACGGATACAGCAGGGGATGCGACGAATTATTATTATTTTTATTATATATATTTGCTATGTAGATTAATATTACATTACCAAATATCAAAATTAATAAAAATTAACATTAATTCAATATATATATATATATAAACCACTACATTTAAATAAATTAATAGATTATCCATATTTGAACATGTGTGTCCCCTACAAAAAAAAAGAAAGAAAAATAAATAAATAAATGGTGTGTCCCTGCCGTGCCCCTTGCAAAAAAATAAAAATAAAATTAAAGGGACAAGCAATTTGGCATGTCCCGTATGTGTTCCCGGCGTGTCTGTCACTGCTACAGTGTCTTTTCTGAAGTGTCCGTGCTTCAGACCTTGAGAGTTCACAAGCAGCAGCAGCAGGTAGAAGAACCCTAGATGGTTTTGTCTTCAACCCTCTTTTCCAGAGCCGTAATAAATTTTTTTCCAAGATGGGAGACTAGTTTTTACTTTTTTTTGTCTTCAGATACACGTACACCTCTATTGTTTTACAGCTGGCAAGAAATTTGATTTATTATACAAGACCCAAATTTCAGATCGCACAAAATCGCAATCCCAAGACGATCCTACGATCACGTACAATCCCAATATAATCCTACAACGATCCTACCACAGACCCGATCCAAAGGCTGATCTAGATCACCCAAGGAAAATTGGATCATAAGATCATATGATCCCACCATCCAGATCGCGATTTTAACAACCTTGGATGGATTTAGCTGTTTGTCCTTGTAACTAACGGAAAAAATCTCTTCTCAGTTCAGGGAATTTATATATTTTGTGCTTTGGGAGTTGCATAGGACGGAGGTCATCCATGATTTTTTGAGAAATTCTTTTATAATGTTTTGTGATCCTATGTTCCTTTTGTGTTTTCTGCTTGGCACTGCCTGTTAGTAAGCACTTAGGCTGGAATAATGTCTTCCACATAGGATGCCCATTCCTATTTTGCCTTGGTTGCTATATGCTTTATTCATCCTGATTTTAACTTTTTTTTTTTAATATCTTGATTCTTGATGCCATGAATTATTGAGTATTGATAATATATTCAAAATTTAAAGATAAGTTTCTCAGTTTTAGTTTATATCGACTTGTGAGCTAAATTTTGATCCTGCAGGCGGCTGCCACAGCCAGCACCCTACAAATTGAGGTGTGATAAAGAGCCTTTGAATTCCCGGTAATTTCTGCAATTAAACAATTTCCTTATTTAATTTATTAGTTCTCAGTGCATGCCAGTTTTTCTTTTAGCCCAAGTAAGGACACTGCAGGAAATTTATAATTTAGCTTTTTGGCCCTTTCTAATATACTTTCTTTATGTTCTCAATTTTATTTGATCAAATAATGTATTAGAGAGGCTTTAGAACTTTCTGATTTTATGCTTGCATTTGACTTTGATTACAGAATGTTGCTTGTTATTGTTATGATCATCATCTCACCTTCGTGACTATCCGTTTTCAGACTTGGGCCACCTGATTTTCATCCACAGACTCCAAATTGCCCGGAGGAGACTCTAACCAGGGAATATGTGCAATCTGGATACAGGGAGACAGTTGAGGGACTTGAGGTGTGCTTTTGGAACCAACTGCTATTTCATTCTCTCTTTCTTCTTGTTCCTTTTCTTCGATTTTGAAATTTTATGTTCTGATGTTGCTAGTAGATATCAAAGCGCAAATCTAGCGGTCTGCTGGTCATGAAATGTTGTGTATATGCTGAAAATTTTTATCAGTGAATTTAACATATCTGAAGTCATTCTTGGTGAATGACTCTGATCAAGCCAGTTGGTATAGCAATTTTGGCATAGTATTAGCAACCATGATTTGTTGTGTTTGAACACAATGTTACATATCTCACAATGTAAATTGGCACTCAACACTTCTTTCTTCTCTTCTTGCTGTTAGAACTTGTCTATCATATCAATTTTGTCTTGTAATATAGACATCATTAAAACCACTTTGAGCAGCTTATCGTATTATTTTATGACAGGGAGTATCACATGATATTATGGCTGTTGTGGAAGCGTAATGCCATTCTTCTATCGTATCTGTTATATTTAGAATTGTATGGAGTAGATGAAGTGATGAGAAGGAAAGATAGAGAGACGAAGAAGAGAATAATTTGCTGAAAAGAGAGGCACACTGAAATTGGGGTTTTCCTCTCTTATCACATATAGGAAGATAAATACAAACTACTGAAAATCCTCAACGCAACTCAAATAAACACTCACCCTCAAGTTGGTGCATAGATATTTTTTATGCCCAACTTGCACGCAATAGGATGAAACACCTTACCACTCAGCCCCTTAATGAATATATCAACTCCTACTGCATATGCAATATCTGGCTTGGTATGAGAAAGATATATCAATCTACCTAGCAAGCCTTTGATATCTTCCCTTGTCTACATGAACCTCATCACAATTGATAGATGCTTATCCCCTTCTGTTTCACTGATTTATTTCCTTTTATACTTGAACTAGATGTATGTTACCTTGATTTGTTTGATGATGATGTCAACACATTTCATGGTCCTATTGTGTGTATGTGATGTAATTCATACCATTCTGATTGTCTTTCAATTATGCTTGAATGCCTTCTGCAGCAAGTACATTCACTTTTGGATTTCTTGTTGAAATTGTATATTTTTTCTTTTCAATTACAATTTCATTATGTTACATGCATGCCACTTGAATCATGTTAAACTTTTTGTATTATCGGCATTGCAAGCACTGATTCTCACTGTAATGGCATGTTAAAGTTGGTTCAGATATTTTCGAGTTTACAATTTCAGGACATGCTTGCAATTGAAGTCTCAACTGTCGAGAACAGATAGAGTTTGATGTGCTGTGTAATTATAATTAGTATTCATTTTAAATCCACATTATGATGTATCCATCTCAACCTTTTGTGTTCTCTCTGCCAATTGCGATCTGACTAAATTTCACTTGCTGTGTTTCACAGGAAGCTAGGGAGATTTCATTATCTCAGGTTCAAACTTTTGCTAAGCCCATTATCCTAAAGTGCAAAGAGGTGAGACTCTTAAAGTATGAAGCTAGGATGGTTATTTCTTAATTGTTCTCATGGTTTGAAGGTTCACAGCTCTATTTAAGTCTGATCGTTTTCTCTTCTGCAGGCAATCAGAAAATGTCACAGGGCCATTAATGAATCTCGTGCTAAAAAGCGTAAGGTGATAAATTTTTCCTTTCTCTGTTTGATTTTGATGTTTGCTAATACTCTCGTGCATGAGTTATTTTTTGACATTCCCTCACTATTTTGGTGCCTCTTAACACGTGTATAATAGATGTATGTTTAATTGTATATGCATTTCCCCTATGTCAATATGATTCTGAGCTTCTGAAATTTCATGACGGAAATTTAATCTGGAAATATATTCAATGATGTAACAGGCGGGTCAAGTATATGGTGTGCCTCTTTCTGGTGTACTATTAACTAAACCTGGTGTCTTCCTCGAACAGAGGCCGTGTGGAGAAGACTTCCGGAGGAAATGGATTGAGGTTAGATTTTTTACTTTACTGTTAATTTCACTTAATTGAATAAAGAGTGTAAGAGGAGGACATTATAAGCACTTGAATGAGGGATGATTGAAGTTGAGTCGATGCACTGGCTTTATTGGTAGCCAATGTACCTAGTGATTTCGCATTGTCTGTGTTCCATGTGGTATATCAAACTGTTAATGCTAAATACATTGTTAAGTATGCATTTCTGAGTAATGTGGTGTGCATATGATTAATATTATGGTAAATAGAAAATTCTAACAGAGAGGCCAATCTTATTATTATTATTATTTTTTGATAAGTAAAATTTATTAATAAGAGTGCCTTAAAGGGTGGGAAACCTGTAACCCAAAGCCCAAGTCTATAAGCTATAGATCCATGGGACCATGGGCAATTACAAGTCACCAATAAACTGAACAAAAGATGAAACGAAAAAATGATAATCATCCCTCACCAACAGAACAATGATTTTTTCAAACCATGAATAGAAGAAAGTACAACATAAATGTTAATAGCGTAAGTAGAAATACTAAGAGGATAATAGTGTAAACGTTAACACGTCGGTTGATTATCTACTCAAAGGAAGAAGGGAAGTTAACAAAGAGAAGTTGAATGAAAAAAGATGGGGCTTGAAAATTTTGTAATTTGGTGAAGAGAAGAGAGTATAGGCCTCACCCATGTTTTACTTTGAATACTTGTATATTGGCTTGGAATGTTGTACTTCTCTGTGAATCACTCCATGTCACCTCACATGTTGTGGTGATACTTCTGTTGGTTGAGGGAGTCGAAGAGGCAAATTGTATCTCTTGGACATTCATTTCTCTTATATTCTTTCCTCGTTAAGCTAAACAAGCCTGTAAAGGGAGTAGTTCTATGTATTTCTTTTTCTCACAGTTAGTTTGTTCATATGGAGGTGGGCAAATAGAGCCACAGATGATAGCTGACTCTTGCAACAACTTGTGGAGTGCATGATTCGGTCTTGGTACAATGGATTCTCTAAGTGGTGAAGATATTATGAAGATTGTAGTGTACCGACAAAGTATATATTTATGCTTAACTAATACCAAATTAAAGTAGGAGTGAGCTCGTTTGAAGCTGGAAAATACAGCCACTAACTCACATCTTTACAACATCCGGTGGGGTGCATAATTACGCAACCTTGATACAATGGTCAAAGTGTTGCGATGGTTTTCTATAGATTGTCGAGGTGTATCTTAAGATGTATTAAGTTAGTTAAGCTTAATTAATGCCAACTATGATCAAAGATTCGAAGGGTGACATGGCTTGGCAGCCAACATATTAGTGTTCCATCAATTACATTATAATTTTCCCCTTAAATTTTTATTTTGTCCATGTGCGTCATATCTCCACACAATAGAGATATTCTATTCTCATTGTTTAGTCAATCCTTAAATATTGGAAGTCATAATTTGAGGATGTTCCATAGAACGATTCCTTTTTGTTGAGTTTGTTTGATTCAATGATTGACCGGAAGAGCTCAGGCATGGTCGCCTGGATGGAGAAGTTTCTACTTGGAGGAGGCTTGGCCGGAATTTTCTATTGATATATTTGTTATTAAACTTCAACTGCAGCTGGGTGAGCCTTCACTTTTTGGTTCCCATACATCAAGTGTATTATCATGATTGGCAAACTTTATGGTATTTCTTTTGAATCCACTATGGAGAGTGTCTTTCTATTTGAGAATGGAAAGTATTCACTTGTTCTGAAACTGTTTTTGTAGTTTGGGATAAATTCAACTATTGCCTGTTCTATGGTGTTTGTAAATTGTATATTCTACCAGGAGTTTATTTATTAAATTATACTAGTCAACTCCTCTTGATTGGGACACAAGGCTTGGTTTGGTTTATACTAAGTCAATCCCAAATCGTTAGTCCTTTCCAATTTGGGATGTCCCAAAATTTAGTCCTATTTGAAAGGTCAAATCGTAAGTTTTTCAAAAAAATTTCAAATCTACCCTTTAAAAATGGTTACAAATATACTTAAAAGTAGGGAGTAAAAGGGCAATGTTGGAAATCAATGTTTTTTATATGAACTTGAGGCATTAATTGCATGTTCCCTTAGAAAGGTGGAACTCCTAAATGGTAATAACATTTTGGGTTGAAGTGGCTCATATCTCAAATAAAGACTGTTGGTTTGCGAAGTCTTCGTGAGTTGATCCATAACAAACTGACTCAAATCTCCTCTGGACTACTGATACCAAGGGTGGAGAATCTTTTTTGGAATATTTTCTGTATTTGTTAGAGTTTTCTATAACAGTGTGTGTTAAAAGTTGTATTACAGAAGGTTCCAAGGGGACACAACCGTTATACGATCAAATTAAAAGACAAAGACATCTCTTTGATTATTTAACTGTCTTTCTTCTGTCAATTCATTTCTTTTGACTAGTATCTTCTCCTAATTATGCATTAATAGCTTCTGAATGTATTTTTCTATTTCTATGTTTTGGACTCCTTTCTGGTTCATTTCAGTTTCCCTTGGGGGAGGTCAGATTGCTGTATGGTATGCCACTAATTCATTTACTGTTTGCTAAACATGAACATGATCTGAGGAGAACCGATTTGCTTATTGAGCTAAACACTCATCCTCTATTGCCCCTACTTGCTTCACGTCAACCGGATAAGGTTCAATTAGTGTCTGTTTAATTTGACCCCAGCATAAGCCCATCCCTTCCACCCCAACCTCCTGTTGCAGGGGTACTGGTATGAATTGAGCAATCACCTGCAATTACCTGCTCTTGTTTGGGTGTGCCTTATTGTGGTTAATATTTTAACCAATTTCTAAGTGTTGGATTTGAAATTTAATGACTTTTAACATCCTTCCAGGGTTTATCACAACCCCATAAGCGTTTGCGTTCTTTGGCCGATCATGTTCCTCATGGCTATAGGAAGAAATCCCTTATTGAAGTTCTTATCAGGAATAATGTTCCGCTACTGAGGGCAACTTGGTTTATTAAAGTAACTTATCTTACTCAGGTATGAATATTTTGATCACTGGTAATAATATTGGTTATTTTTCACTTTCACTTGGTTATTCTTTATATTGGAAGGTAGTAGATTATGGTTTCATCTTGCAGGTTCGGCCCGGAGACAAGACTCAGTTTTCCCGCACAGAGCTGTGGACAAAAGATGTTATTGATTACTTGCAGTGTCTTCTTGATGAGTTTGTTTCTAGAAATGCTTCTTATTCAAATAGTCATGTTAGGGATAGGTCACCACAGATGGGCTATGGTGGGTCGATGCAGCACAAGAGTGATCCTGCATCAGCAATCCTTGATGGTGAGGAGCCTTCTTTACATTTTAAATGGTGGTATGTGGTGCGGATTTTACAGTGGCACCATGCAGAAGGGATGCTTCTTCCTTCGCTCATCATTGATTGGGTTCTCAATCAACTGCAGGTACTTTAAGTAATTTCTTAGACCCATTCATTTGCAATAAGTTATAAAATAAGTTTTTTGCAGGGGAAGTATATATGCGTCTATTAATTTTTTGGGACTTAAATGTCATATTTTGCTTTCTGCAGGAAAAAGATTTGCTTGGGATTTTGCAGTTGCTGTTGCCTATTCTACATGGCGTTATAGAAACTGTTGTCTTATCTCAGACCTATGTACGTACTGTTGTGGGATTGGCTGTTCGTTTCATTCAGGAACCTTCTCCAGGTGGTTCTGATCTTGTAGATAATTCGCGGAGGACATACACTATGTCTACTCTGGCTGAGATGCTTCGGTACATGATACTGGCCGTGCCTGATACTTTTGTTGCTTTGGATTGCTTTCCCTTGCCACCTTGTGTAGTATCTAATGTGTTGACTGATGGGAATTTTTTGTCAAAGACATCTGATGGTGCTGCAAAGATGAATAGTGGTTCTGTAGAAGTTAGTAGTCTGCTTAAAGATAAAGGGCTTGAACCTCAATGTCAATTCTTATCCATTGATCGGGTTGTTTCATCAATTCGGAAACGTGCAGATAAGCTTGCTATGGCTGCAAGGCCTGGCTATCCAGGTCGCAATGTAGCGAAAGCAATACAGGAGTTGGATAAGGCACTTATAGAGGGAGATGTGAGAAGGGCGTGTAGTTTCCTCTTTGAAGATCTTTGTGATGGAGCTGTTGATGAAGGTTGGATGGCAGAAGTCAGCTCATGCTTGAGATCATCTTTGAAGTGGATTGGAATGGTGAGCTTGCCATTTGTTTGTTCCGTGTTTTTCCTTTGTGAGTGGGCAACTTGTGATTTTCGGGATTTTCGTACTGCTCCGCCTAGTGGCATGAAGTTCTCTGGTAGAAAAGATTTTTCTCAAGTGTACCTTGCAACTCAGATTTTAAAGCTAAAGATAAAAGACATGCAAAATTCACTTCGGCGCAAGAGCAGCAGCTTTGCAAGAGGTTCCAGTCAGCTGAATAACCCTTCTGTTAGGAATTTTGTGGGTATTAATGAACATAAAAGTAATTCTAGGAGTGTGGTTAGAAAAAAAGAGCTGTCAAATATTTTTGAAAGCCCAGGTCCATTACATGATATTATAGTATGCTGGATTGATCAACATGAAGTTCAAAATGGGGAAGGTTTCAAGCGCCTTGAACTCCTCATTATTGAACTCACTCGTTGTGGCATTTTTTACCCTCAGGCATATGTGAGACAACTGATTGTTAGTGGAATTATGGATAGCAGTGGACTTCTGGTTGATGTGGACAGACGGAAGAGGCACTATAAAATCTTGAAGCAGTTGCCTGGGCTCTATGTCCGTGATGTTTTGGAGGAGGCACAAATCACTGACATGCCAGTGCTTTTGGAGGTCATGAATGTTTATTCAAATGAACGGCGCCTTCTGCTTCACGGGCTTATTGATCATCATAAAAATCCGAAGAGTGCAAATAGTTCATCTCGGAAACAAAAGCGTCATCTTGGCTCAGGTGGGGATGGTGCTTCTCCCCCTTTTGTTGATCAGTGGAGAACTAATTCGGCATCATCCAGTCTGTCTGGTAAAAGTTTCAATAGAGTTGCTGGTGTAGAAGAGCTAAAGGCTGCTATTTTAGTATTATTGCAGCTCCCAAATTCTTCTTCTACTACATCCACTGATACTGGAATTGATGAGTCTCAAGGGAGTGTTAAGAGGTTTGTTGGGTCAACTAGCAACAAAACCGATATGGGAGAAGGCACACCTGGGTGTGAAGAATGTAGAAAGGCAAAGAGACAAAAGTTAAGTGAGGAGAGGAGCTCATACCTTCAAGGGCATTCACCAAATCCATTGGATAATGAAGAAACCTGGTGGGCGAGGAAGGGTGTAAAATACTTTGAGGACTTGAAAACTGATCCGCCAGTTAAGCCAGCCAAGCAGGCTACAAGAGGCAGGCAAAAAATTGTGCGTAAAACTCAAAGTCTTGCTCAGTTAGCGGCTGCTAGAATTGAAGGTAGCCAGGGAGCATCCACGAGCCATGTTTGTGATAGTAGGGTAAGCTGCCCTCACCACAGAACTGGTTTTGACAAAGAAGATCCAAAATCAATGGATGAGAGCAGAACAACCCACTCTGGAGATATTGTTTCAGTTGGAAAAACTTTAAAGAGGCTGCGGTTTGTGGAGAAGAAGGTTATCACAGTTTGGTTGGTAACTCTGGTTACACAACTTGTTGAAGAGAATGAAAAGGCTGCTGCCAAGGTTGGCCAGTATGGTAGGCCTTTTCCTTCTGTTGATGAAAAAAGCTCTGTACGGTGGAAGCTTGGTGAAGATGAATTATCTGCTATTTTGTACTTGATGGACGCTTCTAATGATTTAGTTTCAGCAGCCAGATTTCTTCTTTGGTTGTTGCCAAAGGTTCTCAGTGGCCCCAATTGTACATTTCATGGCGGGAGGAACTTTCTCATGCTGCCAAGAAATGTTGGAAGCCATGCGTGTGAAGTAGGGGAGGCATTTCTTTTATCATCTATTCGGAGGTGCACTCACAATTCTGTTTACGTTGATAGTTTCTGTTTGTAATTTGGCCATTGTGTTTGTTGGTTCTTGCGTGTCTGCTTGTGTATTGTTTATTGTTTTTGTTGTGAAGTCAATGGAATTATGCAACATTCATGTCTTGTAGCTCACATTGCTGCCATTTTTTTAATTGAAATTTCTTCTTGGCACCTATTTTGAAAAAATAATGGTATGTGCTTGCATGTAATGCCTCCGATGAATTCTCTATTATTCTGAAATCCTCTTGAAGAAATAAGTAAAATATATGAAATGAAGAGGGAAAACTCTCTTTCTCATATTTGTTCACCTCCATATCGTAAGAAGGTTTGTAATGTAAAACACAGTTAATGAAACTGTGGTGACTCAATTGTTATGACCTGTCTCTGACTCTACTGAGTTCTGTGAGTTCCAAGCTGTAGGAGCAGTTTAGTTGAAGTGATGTCATTTAGATTGCTTGTACTTCTGTTAATTTTTTTGGATAGCTTTGTATAATCTTAAGATTTTAGGCTTGCAATTGTGTTATCTGAATAATTTTTGTGGCATTTCAAGGACTAATTTCAGTTGAATGTCATCTGTCTTAAATCGGCTATTAATTCTTCATATTGATGGTGGATATTGTTTCAGAAATTTCTGACCTTTAGATTAGTTCCTTGTCCCTGTTTTCTTTTGGCGCATGGAGAGTACATAAGAGGAAGAAAAAGTTATCTATTTTCACTGTTGGTGCTTGTGAAAGAATTGAAGCTTAGGTTTGCAGCCATGTCTTTTTGGAATGGGAATAATATAATGTTGTGGCCTCAAACTACACAGCCACTTCTGTGCATTTGTTGAGCATAAAACAGCAATTTTTTGTTTTCAAGAGTTTCCTCATTTTGCGACTCCAGACACCATAGTACTTCCTTCTATTCTTTCTTTAAATTATTAATTTTATTTTACTATGATATGATTTGTTATAGTATTGTTTGCAGGATACAGTTTTTTATTCCGTGTACAATTTGAGTCACCTTTACTCTTCTGTAAATAATGCTGTTTTCATGGGCGAACTCTTTAGTTTATAGTCTTACTCCATAATTTGGATTGCATATATTTATGCTCTTGCATAATATCTGATGATGCATTTGCAAGTTTAGCTCACCATGTTTCACTAACTACGGGGTTTGGTTCAGGTATGAAAATATACTTGTTGCTACTGGTCTTCTTCCTGAAACTTTGTCGGCAATGATGCATCGTGTGGCCACTATTATGGCCTCTAATGGAAGAGTTTCAGGGTCCGCAGCAGCCCTAGTTTATGCAAGGTACCTGCTGAAGAAATACAGTAGTGTAGCTAGTGTTGTTGAATGGGAGAAGAACTTCAAGGCAACAAGTGATAAAAAACTTATTCCTGAACTTGAATCTGGAAGATCACTTGATGGAGAGTTTGTGTTGCCACTTGGAGTTCCAGCTGGAGTTGAAGATATTGATGATTTTCTACGGCAAAAGATAAGTGGTGTCCGAGTTTCTAGAGTGGGTATGAGCATGAGAGAAACAGTACAAAGACATGTTGAAGAAGCTTCAAAGGGTTTCCATGGCAAAGAGAGAAAACTACTTGCAGCTAGTACAATCAAAGGCCCGTCCCTCGAGAAAGGCGATGATGGGTATCAAATTGCACAACAAATAGTAATAAGCCTAATGGAGTGCATAAGGCAAACTGGTGGTGCCGCTCAAGAAGGGGACCCCTCTTTGGTGTCCTCTGCTGTTTCTGCAATTGTCAGTAGCATTGGTCCAGCTGTAGCAACAATTCTTGATTTACCATCTAGTGGCAATCCTACAACTTTTCTGTCTACTGGTGGTTTATTTACATTTGCTCGTCGAATTTTACGTATTCATATTACTTGCCTATGCCTCCTTAAGGAAGCACTTGGAGAGCGTCAAAGTCGTGTATTTGAGATAGCTCTTGCAACAGAAGCCTTTTCAGCCCTTGCTCAGGCTTTGGCTTCTGGAAAGGCTTCTCGTGGTCAGTTTCAACTGTCTTCTGAAGCTCATGATTCCAGTGCAAACTTGTCAAACGAAACAATGAATAGTTCTACAAAAGTAGTTTTTGGAAGGTCTGCAAAACTTACAGCTGCTGTTTCTGCACTTGTTGTTGGGGCAATTCTTCAAGGTGTTGCTAGCCTGGAGAGAATGGTGACTGTTTTCAGATTAAAGGAAAGGTTGGATGTGATTCAGTTTGTAAGGAGTACAAGATCCAATTCTAATGGGAATGCACGTTCAGTTGGGGCATTTAAGGTTGATAACTTGGTTGAAGTCCCTGTTCATTGGTTTAGAGTGCTTGTTGGGAACTGCAGATCAGTTTCTGAAGGATTAATTGTGGAGCTTCTAGGTGAAGCATCTATAGTAGCTCTATCCAGAATGCAAAGAACACTCCCTGTTAGCCTGGTTTTTCCACCTGCCTATTCCATATTTGCTTTTGTTATATGGAGGCAATTCATCTTTAACACTAGCAGTGTAAGCCGTGAAGATGTCCATCAGGTGTATCAATCTTTGACATTGGCAATAGGCGATGCCATAAAGCACCTCCCTTTTCGAGATGTCTGTCTGAGAGACACTCGCGGTTTATATGATCTTGTTGCTGCAGATACCACAGATTCGGAGTTTGCTGCAATGCTAGAAGTGAATGGTCCAGACATGCATTTGAAAGCAATGATGGCCTTTGTTCCTCTACGTGCAAGGCTTTTTCTAGATGCCATTATTGATTGTAAAATGCCACACTCCATGGTTTCACAGGATGATGGGAAACGGGTCTCAGGGCATGGTGAGTCAGGTGTCCAGTATGCAGAAAGTGAGACAAAGCTTCTGGACAAGCTGGTACATGTTTTAGATACATTGCAACCTGCAAAATTTCATTGGCAGTGGGTTGAGCTCAGGCTTCTTTTGAATGAGCAATCCTTGATTGAAAAACTGGAGTCCCATGATACCTCCTTATCGGAGGCTATACACGCTGCCTCCCCAAATCCTGAAAAAGCAGCGGCTTCTGAGAATGAAAACAATTTCATTCAAATCATCCTCACAAGATTGCTGGTAAGGCCTGATGCTGCTCCTCTTTTTTCAGAGGTCATACATCTTTTTGGGAGGTCACTTGAAGATTCTATGCTATTGCAAGCCAAATGGTTTCTTAATGGCCATGATGTTCTTTTTGGAAGAAAATCCATTAGGCAACGTCTTATTAATATTGCTGAGAATAAATTCCTGTCAACTAAAGTCCAGTTTCGGAAGCCTTGGGGCTGGTGTTTTTCTTCTTCGGATCTCGTGACCAGCAAGGGAGACATGCGGAATTTTGAAGCCAGTTCTCTTGAAGAAGGAGAGGTTGTTGAAGAAGGGACTGAATTAAAAAGGTTGGGAAGAGGACCCACTCAAGCATTGGATGTCGAAGGCATTAATATCTGTCAGCAACATGTAACTGAGAGGGCTCTAATTGAATTAGTTCTCTCTTGCATTGATCAATGCTCTGATGACTCACGCAATACCTTCGCAAATGATATGATCAAGCAGATGAGTATTATTGAGCAACAAATAAACACAGTTACTCGTGGAGCAAACAAGCAGGGTGGAGCAGTTAATTCTGGAATTGAAGTTACGGGGATTAAAAGCAGTACTCGCAAAGGCATGAAAGGGGGCAGTCCTGGTTTAGCTAGACGATCAACAGCAACTGCTGATACTGTACCACCTTCCCCTGCAGCATTGCGAGTTTCCATGTCATTGCGTTTGCAGTTTCTCCTCAGACTGCTACCAATCATCTGTGCTGATGGGTAATTTTGCATTTTAATTACTGAACCTCAGTTATTGCAATTTATTATGTTCCAGGAACAGCTTGTGAGTTTTACTTGCTGTACCTGTTGCCTGAAAGGTTTTTGCCCCCCTGTTTTTTGCAGAGTTTTCAGGACTTGTTTTTTGATTTTTTTTTTGGGTTGAAAAATTAGAAACTAATTTGATAAAAATTAACACTGCAAAAGATATTTTTAAATTAGAAAAAAAAAAAAAAGAAGAAGAGACCCTTGTGAAAATACTGAGTGTTTTTTATTTTTTGAATTTTTTTCACCAAATTAGTTTTTGAAAAAAAATCAGAAAACACTCTGCTAACTCAATCAAACATGTACTTTCACTTTGTTCCATCCATCCATTAAAATTGAGGGTTGCTTTTACTAATGGTAGGAAAGAAGTCCCATCAATTGATTGTATTCTTGTTGCTATTTCTTATGTAGTTTTATTTTTGTATATTGGTGTTCTCAGGGAGCCTTCAGTTCGTAACATGAGGCACATGCTTGCCTCAGTAATACTGCGCCTCCTTGGAAGTAGGGTTGTGCATGAGGATGTAGACCAGTTCTTTTTTCCAACAAACAGTTCTTTCTTAAAGAGGGATGTGGGATTGTCAATGGAAGCCTTCGCTGCTTCTGCTGTAGATTTATCTGGTGAAAGTCTCTTTGATCGCTTACTGTTAGTGCTGCATGGATTGTTGAGCAGCTGCCGGCCAAGTTGGCTGAAGTCAAGGAAGGAGTTTCCTGCGTTTGATAATGAGGTGGCAGAGAGTTTGCAGGTATGATTTTTATTAACCTTAAATCCTTAATTTTTAATGCTTTGGTTTTGATGGACAATGCAGCTAGGAGGGAGTTTTGAATAAGGGGTTGGCCACTGAATCCTCAATACGAGTTTAAAAAGTACCCAACAAGAACAATTGAACATTTTACACTTCATTTGTCTACTTACACTTCATTTATCCATAGCTTGTGTTACACGGACTCTTCTATTCTCCCAGCGTACCTTTGTCCATCAATACTATCTATCTATACTATTATATAAAGCAAAGGCTAGAGTTGGTGTCTTAAAGCCTTTGCTTTTCTAAATGCCAAGTAGCATTTCATATTCCTAAGATACCCTTCACCACTGGTTAAAATCCACCCATAATCTCATAACCACTTGGAAGTTAATCAACAAAATAACTGTTGCGTAGATTTTAAATTTTTATTTATTGACAGATTACAAAAATAAAATTCTATGTTATTTATTTATATAATACTCAAATATTTATATCACACGCATTTGCATGAGTAGAAAACGCTAGTTAGGTATATATACTGATCTCTCGTGTCAAAAGATTATATAATAGAATAATATATTTAAATGTTTTGGACGGATGTGTCTTCGTACCATACCTAACTTTGGGATATATATCCCTACATTCTAAGATTAAGGCAATGTTTTGGTACACAGGAACAGAATGAAGTGAGTACATAATGAGAGTGAGAATGGAATGGAATGTCCCATTCACATTCCACTGCTTGCTTGCCAATATGGAATGGTGTGTAAATGGATTAACCATTTCCATTTGCATGTTTGGTTACACTTGTTGAGCTGCTGGAATGACATAAAAATTTAAGACTAGCGTAATAAAAATGCCGTAGTGAAGAAATTAGTGGCTGCTTTGCTGTATAAAATCCAACGCTTAGAGACCAAGGTTCATTGGCATGCATAGCTAGTACAAAATGTCTCAATGATTTTTTTATTTTATTTCAGCATTTTAATTTTAAAATACTGCGCTGAAAGTGAATTATGCAAATCAGATTAACAATTCTTATTTGCTCAAGCAATTGCTGCCATTGACCTCTGATTGTGCGTGCCATTTTTAGAGAGAGAAAGAGGAGGTGAGAGAGAGGTAGTTGAAAGATGGTAGCTCATGGTGGTGGGTCTTGGGGTTAGAGAAAGAAAGATGGTGAACATGATGGTAATAGTGGTTCCGGAGGTGATGACAAGGACATGGGACACGACACGGACATGCGGACACACAAATTTTCAAAAAAAGGGGGACACGACACGTTGGGGACACGTTTGATATATATAATTTTATTTATTTATTATATATCTAAAATTTAAAAAAAAAATATTAGTTCCTATAAAATTACAATAATAATAAAATTAATAAACGCATTACTTAAATTTTTTTAATAAAAATTGATTTTTTTCAAATAAAAATATATTTTTTTATTTATAAATTTTAATAAAAGCATGGATGTAAATAATAAAATAAAAGAAAATAAGGGAAGGAAAAGAGACACATCAGGAAAAAAAAAAAAAAAACAGGAGGGGAGAGAAAAAAAGGAAAGGGAGATAGAGGAGACAGAAAAGGGAGAGAAACAGAAAAAGCGACGAGAGATAGAATAAACGAAATCAGAAGAGAAGAAGAAGAAGATAGAAGAACAGAGAAGACCAAGTCGAAACAGGTTAGGGTTTGTTCTCTCTTTCCTCGATCTATCTCTCTCTTCTTTCCCTCGATCTCTTCCCTCGATCTGTCCCTCTCTTTCCTTCGATCTGTCTCTCTTTCTATCTCTCTCTTCCCTCAATCTATTTCCCTCTCTCCCCTCAATCTGTCCCTGGCTTTCTCTCTTTCTCCTCTCCAACAGGTCTAGGGCTTTTTCAATCAACTTGTGTGTCTGAAACGTGTCATCACGTGTCCACCGCATGTCCGACTGGAAAAATTCCATAAAAAAAAAAGGGACACGTAAGGGAGAGTTTCGAACACGTGTCCACAGTGTGTCCGACACTCGTACGCAAGCCTCAGAGACGTGTCCGTGCTTCATAGCTGGCTGCTAGTAGGTCCAGAATAAACTAATATGAAATTTATGTAACACTAATGAACAGAGTCAATAGGAGATTGGGGTGGGGTTGCCCCTTGGCTCAAGTTGGCAGAGTTGCTACTGTGCTCTGAGGTTGTGGCATGTTTAACATCTTAAGTGGGGTTTATACTCGACAGAACAGAATTGTGTAAAAGGATTCAAGAAGCCGATCCCACTTGAGTGGGACACAAGGCATAGTTTGGTTTAGTTAAGTTTATTTGTTGAAATGTCATGCAAGCTAGTGTGAATTACTTTTCTTGGGAGGTTTACTAACCTAATTATTATTAATCCATCTGAGTACAGTAGGCTATTGTTGATGTTATGCCTTTAAAGTTATTTATCAAAAAACAAAAAATGTTATGCTTTTAAAGTTCAAAAAAAAAGAAAAAAGAAAAAGAAAAAAGAAAAAAATAAATAAATAAAAAACTTGGTTCTTGAAGAATACTGTAAACTGGATGGTGTTTTAGGATGTACATGTAAGAAGCCTTTTGTGTGTGTGTGTGTGTGCCCTTTCTTTCTTTCTTTCTTTCTTTCTTTAACTTGTTTAAATTTATTCATCGATCTTCTCTGGTCAAGGAATCATTGAATTGTGACTCTGCACATTACTGTTAATGGATGCAGAATGACTTGGATCGAATGCTCTTGCCTGACTCAATTCGGTGGCGTATCCAAGCTGCAATGCCTATTCTTTTCCCGTCTTTTAGGTATTCCATCTCTTGCCAGCCGCCATCTGTCTCCTCAGCTGCCCTCACTTCACTTCAACCCATCATTGCAGCATCTGGGTCACATACTGGAAATTCAAACTTACCCCCAAGGAATCAAGTTTCTTCGACAAGATCTGCTACTTCTGTATCTGAAAAAACGAAGCCATTGCCATCATCGCAACTCGACATGGATATAGAATTAGACCCATGGACACTCTTGGAGGACGGAGCCGGATCGGGCCCATCTTCAGCTAATGCTGCCGGTGTTGGTAGCAGCGACAATGGTAATCTAAAAGCATCCAGCTGGCTCAAGGGGGCTGTGAGGGTGAGGCGCACGGACCTCACATATATTGGTGTTGTGGATGATGACAGCTGATTATAAATTGATTTCATTCTTGATTTGCCTCCATGCCCCTAAGTTAATCGTTGTTATTTTGCTTGCACACCATTGGTATTCGTATCAAGATTGCCATTTGGTGGTCAAAAGGAGCTATGGGAAGAGGTTCTTTTGAGCTTCCGTTCACCTTTTGGGAAAGAGAGATGATGTTTCTCCTAAAGCAGCTCATTCAACCAGGTCTCGGGGCCCAGATTTACTACTAACCCTTCTTGTTGCTTCTCCTTTCTGAGCCGTGAAAGTTACATGGTGAGGTTTGGAGGGTTTGTTGTATATATAGAGATAATTGTTTCAATTGAGGTGAGTAAAATTTCTCAAGAATGAGCTTTATAGCTTGTTTTGTGCTCTCATCATTGTCTTGTTACATCTTCCCAATTGAGCTGATTCAAAATATGTCGACAACTATTTGTAGCTGTTTAATGTTATTCAAATCTCTCTCTCTAGTGTGTGTGTGTGTGTGAGACATATACATACATCTTAAAAGGCTTGTTTGCTTGGAATCTGGTATATTTGTAAGTTCTGTCTAGATTTGGATTTGTTTCAAATTTTGATTGGTTTTCACATTTAGATTTTTTATTAGACTTTTGATAAAAGCATGCTTGTAAGTGTACTAGAACAAACTAATTAGGAAAAGTCTGCTAATCCGATTTACCCATCCAGAATTTTCTGGGTAGGTGATTGTGTGGTGGATTATTAAATTTATGTGGTGTGGGATCCATATATAGAATAAATTTGAATCACAAGATAATAATTTTAGGTAATTCCTGGATAGTAAAGTCTTGATTTGTAGTATTACTGTTATCATTATGTATGTTAAATTAGGGCAAACTTTTTTTTTTTTCCTTCTCTACCTTGTGTATCTGTTCTTGGCTGCTGAACAGTAGGGACAAAGCTTCTAAAATTTGTGTTGTCTATTTTATTTATTTATTTCTCCTAAAATTTCTGTTGTCGATTTTATTTATTTATTTTGTGCGCGTGTTGAATTCTTAGATGTTTGGAGCACCTGTCGTTTTGGTGGGTATGTATGTTGCTATTTCAGATTTAAAGGAAATGAAATTTTGGTGAAAAATGTGAATTTCTTTTACTTGTCCAACTATTGCAAGAACTTTGATTATATCTGTTTTAAAAAGTTTGTGTTGTTCGTGTGTACTGGTAGTTGTCATTGTGGTTGTGGTTCAAAGATCCAAATTGTTTATTTATTTATTAGGATGTGTTTGGATGATGGATTTGAATAGGGGTTTGGAAAGGAAAATTGGAATGGTAAAAAAGTTTAGCTTGTATTTCATTCTCATTTTTCTTATGTTTTTTCTTATCCTTTTCAAATTCTTACTTAAATATGTAATCCGAACACAATGTTAATCTATGTATGCTGCATGTTTGCAAAGCAATTTAATATGCTTTAATTGGTTTTCCATTGATTTTATTTTTCGACTTACAAAAAAATATTGTTTTGAAGTTTGCAAAGCAATTTAATAAGCTTCAATTGGTTTTCCATTGTTTTTATTTTACAACTTAATACAAAAAATATTTTTTAGAAAAATATATTACAAAGAAAAAAGATTTTAGTTGAAATGTGACAACAATAAACATGTATGGGACTAGCTTGACACTGAAACTAGTGCCACATAGGTTGTGAAAAATGATACACTTGTATCAAAATGGAGAATTTAGTGATTTAAAGTGATCATAATTTTTTAAATATATTTTTTTTAAAGTTTGTTGTGTTAGGAAAAAAAATCATATTTAATTAACTAAAATTTTGAGGGAAAAGAGTTTTTGTGTGATCAAATAAGGGTAAAATAGTGTTAATTTATTATTAATTGGGACTATCAACAGATCTTAATAGTTAAATTTGATTCTCATCAAGTCCCATAGAAAATAAGTCATAGTAAAAATCATTGTTAAAAATAATTTTTTATGATGATTTTTTACATATGTTGATAAAAATTGACAATTAATGATTTTTTTTGGTCAAGATTTTTATAAATTGGGGCAAATTACATATACACCCCTTCAGGTTTGACAAAATTACAGATACCCCCTGAAGTTTGAGAAATTACGAATTCCCCCCTGAATGCTATATTTGCATAAGAAATTAGGGGGTAATTTGTTATGAAATATAAACCTCAGGGGGTAAATTGTTATGAAAATACAAACCTCAGGGGGCGGGATGTAATTTCCGAAACCTCAGGGGGGTATCTGTAATTTAACCAAACCTGGAGGGGTGTATATGTAATTTGCCCTATAAATTGTCACTAAAACTTACAACTAGTGACGTTTTTCTGTGGCGAATTTTTAAAATTGTCACTGAAAGTTAAAAATTAGTGACTTTTTTGTGATGATATTTTTAAACTGTTGTTAAAATTTATAATTAGTGATTTTTTTTATGACACAATTTTCAAATTTAACAATTAGTGACTTTTTTTAATAGTGTTTGATGAAAAACGCTATTAATTATCATAAGACTTATTAAACAATAAGTCTATATATTATAACATACACATAAATCCCCGTTACTAATTTACAAATATATCCTATTGGATGTCTAACTATTTATATATAATTGATTTACCTCTATCATATTACATTTTAGAACACATAACATACTATACTTTCATCTCTATTCACTTATATCAAAACAATCTGCGTTTCAAATAACACAATGTGCAACTCAAGGTAAAAAATCAGAAACCAAGATATTGAAAAATACTTTTCAGATTACATTGTGAGTAAAGATCTAACTTGATTAGTATTAAAAAAGCCAAACCAAGTTCCAGTTAGATTAACTTTCGAACTGAGCTCGATCTGAATTTTTGAGCTCAATATGCAAAGTAGCTGAGCTTAAATCTTGCAAGGGCAACTCGTTTGTTGCACTAGGAATATCACTGTCTTCTTTGTTTACCATGAAAAACAATTATAGGATTTGATATAGGTCAAAATTTATTTTGCTCTTTTGAGATTTGAGATCGGAGCACTTTACCTCCTTTGTGATTCAAATATAGTAGAAAATCTCTAAGTAGTTTTGGACCAAAGTGCAACTATTAATACCGTTAACTACAGAAGTGAAATGACTGTATAATACTCTCAAACTCTATACTTTTCCAAGTTCTTACTTAAATATGTAATCCAAACACAATATAACTACAGATGTGAAATGACTATATAACACTTTACTTACTTTGTGATTCAAATATAGCATAAAGTCTCCAAGTAGTTTTGGACCAAAGTGTAACTATTAACACCGCTAACTATAGATGTAAAATGACTATACAATACTTTCAAATAAATGACTATAAATCTCGAACTCTATATTTTTTATGTTATTTTCTCTCCTCTCTCATACACATAATTTATAGTGTCTTAACATTAATTCAATTATATCCCAATTAATTTTAAATTCTTAATTGTTTATTGTAATTCTTAATTTTTTATTCTAATTATAATTTATATCACAATTAATTCTAAATAATTAATTATTTATTGTAATTCTTAACTTTTTAATCTAATTTTAATTAATTATATTTTAAATCACAATTAATCCTAAATTTCTAATTATTTATTGTAATTCTTAACATGTTAATCTAATTTTAATTTAATTATTTTTTAGATTATTTTTTAATTATTCTATATTTTATATTTTAATTTAATTATATTTAAAATCAATCCTTAATTGTATTTTATATTTTAGATCAACAACAATGCTAGGTTTGGCTGGAATGTTTCGAAATTTGCCTTGCCGATCGTCCAGGCGGACATCCAGCTGGTTGTCTGGGCGGACGTCCGGCGAGATGGCTCACCATTGCAGTCGATAAGGGTGACATCCGTGGTAGACAATTTTTCACCCGATCGTCCGGGCGAACGTCCGGTACACACCCATTCGAACCCCTCCCTTTCGAGCCCTCAACCATTTCCGTTAGATCAAACCCAATACTATTATGAGGCTACACTATAGGCTCATTAACCTATTTGGACTTTTTTAATTCAAAATTAAAAAATTAGGTAGCTTTTTAAATTGATTCCCAAAATGGGTCAAAATATATTTGCAAAATATGTTTTTCGTTTTTATTTTTTTTTTTAAAAAATTACGATTTCTGTTTTTTTTGATTAATTATTTTAAAAAATATATTATGTTGATAACGTATTTTGTAAATGCGTTTTCTAATTAAGAAAATGTATTTTACAAAGTACATTTTTATTGAATATTTTTTCAACAGAAAGCGTATTTGCAAAATTCTACGTTCATCTTGTTCTTTCCAAATTCTACTTTAATGGAATAGACTTACAATTATTGTGTTTTAGGTGGTCTCTTGGTGCAATTATGTATGAAATGTATAAAGGTAACCTAAGAATGCTGCTAATCAATATCTTGTTTGCATTAAAATGAAATAAAAAATCATATGCCAAGTTCTGGTGAGTTTCAGTATTATTTTTATTTACTTCACCACTTTAACCTTTTAATCCCCACCTTCTTGTGAGATTTCATTACATGCATGCTCTCATCTAGTTTAAGAAATTTTGGTGAAGCTTTTTTGCACATTTCTTTTATTTCATACTTATGTTTCATTGTGTTCTTATTGTTGAATTACCTCACAAATTGCTTTCCATTTTTGTAGTAATTAAAGAGTTGTTTCGATTGCCTGGGTCAGTGACTTTCATTTTCTTCCTAGTTTTGATGTGATTCTGAACTTGAAGAGTGCCCAAGGGAGAGGCTTCAGATCCTCTGTCCCAAGTTTATATCCCAACCCTTTGTATCATTCCCCTGAGCTGCTACGACGCCACCACTTGAGTTTAGGCAAACCATATAACAGAACAGCAACACTAAATTTTGATGGACATATTGTTGGAACAATCTTTTGTGTAAATAAAATAAATTGAAATAATTTAAACAAAATAAAATAAAACTTACAGAATTTATTTTGTTGAACCGAAAATAATTAAAGACCAAGTCGAGTGTGTGACACTCTGTCTTTAAGACAGATTCGCCCCGCTACGGTACTTGCGGTTGAGTGACGTTTATCTCCCAGGATACAATGATCTTTACAAATTATAGTAGTACTCCAAACAATTTGTTCGGCGAACCAAACCTGTGTTCTAACTCTCTGAAATTTATACTAAAACTAATATGAAGAATAATGCAAAAAATGCAGAATTTAGGACAGCAAAAAGACAATAATCAGACTGAATGTCGTAGTCCCTGGATTGCTGGATTTAAGGCTATATATATAGGCAAAAAACTCTGCCCCGAACAGGTTCCAAAAAGTTGTGAAAAGGTGCACAATAAATTTGAACCGTTGCTTGAACTCTTTTTCAAAAAGTTTGAAAAAAAGTACCGTTGGTAAGAACAAATTTTCAACCAATTTGAAAAGTGATCTGTTGGAGAACAGTTAAAGTAACTGTTGCACCTTTATTATTTAAATCATTTGAAATATATATATATATTAAACTATTTGAATATATATATATATATATATTAAACTTTTAGAATAGTTTAATAAATAAAGGAAGAGGTACAAACTTTAGGAAACCACTTATGAACCTAAAATTTGAATTTAGAATTAAATTAAATTCTCATAATTACAAATTTTAGGAAACCACTCAGGAATCCAAAATTTGAATTTAGAATTAAATTAAATTCCCACAATAATTTTTTATTTAAAAAATTCAAATGAATTTTATCTAAAAAATTAATGTTAGACCCGAAAACGATGTCAACTTTCCATTCACTCATAAATGGTTTTGACGTTCCATCTTCACCGGGTGACTTGTCACGCGGCAAGGAACACTTCACCTTTTCGGACCCACCCCAAAAAACGTTTGGGGCCACTCAAATTTGGGCTAAAAAATATGCGTATATTAAACCATTTTTCCAACACATATAGGTGGTGCAAATCTTGACTGCACAAAACCTTTTGATTTAGAAGATGACAGATCTGGAGGAACAGCGGAAAAACACTCCCTCCAAGCACAAGTGCAGTTTGAGTCTGATTGACTAAGAACCAGTTCATCAGACTATAGCCATGACCTGAGGACACATACCACTTCCTGATGAGAATATGTTGTGTGTAATATTCCTTGTAAGCATGTTACACAATGAATCCAAGAAAAGGAAAATTCACCTTCAAGTAGATTATGCCATCACTGGATTTTTGCATCTTTAGTCTGCAAGGAGTTTGCCAATCTATTGATGATCTTGAGTTTCAACAGTTGAATGCCTTCAAGAGATTCAAGGTACAACATTCTGGTATCTTAACAAAAAGAAATCCTCAAGTCAACATTCTGGTATCTTAACAAAAGAAATCCTCGTGAGGCATATATTTTGCAATTCTGCACATGGTTCAATTAACATTTCATTTTTTCACTTTTATTTGTCACTTTTATTTATAGGTTTTGAGTGTAGGTTGTCGGTTTATTCACTGAAAACCAGCTTGTTTAGAAGACAACTGGAGTTGCAAGCCATTACATGATGGAGAGATGATATTTGAGTGGTGGCGTTGTGGCAGCTCAGGGAGAGAGTGGTACAAATTGTTGGAAAATGGCTTTAGCAAAACCTTATTTTTTGCTAACTTTGAGCATTAATTAAGGTGGGACCCAAGGGGTACCCAAGTTTGTGGAAGGGTGATGTTATAGATAAATTGGGCTATATCCATTGGACCCAAAACAAAATCTCCACGTGCGGGTGCGTGGTGTGAGATTGGGCTTGTCCGGCCCAATACTTATCTTTTAGGCCAAAAACTTTTGTAATTTATTTATTTATTTTTAATTTTGGTTTCAAAATTCAAAATAAATTGGTCCAGGTTTTTTTCTTCACCCAAACAGATCCCTAACGAGTTCAGACCCACCCGAACAGATTCATACCTGTTGAATTCAAACTGAATTTGTCTGAACAGTTGCCTATCTGTTGGCAACTGTTCGAACAGCCACCATTCCTCCTATAAAAAGCCAACAATTCAGAGATAAATTTTTTCCCTCAAAATTTTGTCCTTCTCTTTCTGTTCTTTTATGTGTTTCTGCATCTATTCTGCATTTAATTTTTAGGAAGAAAGAGAAGGAGTTACAACATAATTTGGTTCGCCAGACTTGATTTTGTAGTGCTGCAAATTCAAGTGTTAGTCATTACATCCTGGAAAGTAGATTCTGGTTAAAATTCGAAGCTCCGGAGCGAGGGCAAAATCTACTTTACGGAGATTATGTCCAACACAAGTCTCGACTTTAATTTTTGTAAGCGTTTAATTCGGAATTTAATCTATATAATTATTTTCTGAATTATTTTATTTTGTTGTTTATTTTAATTATACATTTAATTTACACACATCACTGTGGATATAACACAAATAGTTGGGACAGGATCCCAAGTTTGCAAGGGAAGTCTATCAACCTGTAATTTATTCAATTTGATGAAATAAAGGTGTTGAATGCGGAGTCCTGTTCTATGCTCCTTTATTGGTTCCATCAATGAGTTGCAAACAAAGGGGAACTACCTGGTATTGTCTTTTATTTTAGATTTTAAAAGTTGCCCTTCTGTTCAAATTATAATCGCAACCCACCTTGATGCATTTGGGTTATGCTGAGCCAGGTGCTTAAATTGAGCCATGACATTACAATTTATGTATGCTGGTGGTGCTATGGGGTTGTCAAGTTATGTGCCAAGATAAGGAAAAAAAGGTAAAGAGGGGGGGAAAATGTAGGAGTGGTAGTTCATTGTTTACATATTTTTATCTCCTCTGATGAGGAGAAAAAAAGTGTTTCTAGTATTTTTCGCCTCCATACTTGTCTTTTGTAACTATTGGAACGGTGGATTTGTAGGTGGTTATGCTTCCGGAGATGTGGAAATCCAAAGCGTTATGGGGAGAAAAAGAAGGTTATCAGGGACTGGTATGCTCAATCAATTATCAGCCCACCCACTTTGAATGGCTCATGAACGCTTTACGCCTCCATGTATACATTGATGCTTCGACTCTTTCTGCTAGCTTGAGTGCTTCGTGCTCTGAACTTATGTTCAGACAGTCAAGCAGATACTCGGGGGAGAATTTGGTTGCACCACACATGTATTGGTAGATTGTATCGCCTAAACTTGCTTTTCCACTTTGAAAACAAAATTTTCCGACGTGGGATGTGGAGTTAGAAAATTTTCAAGACTAATGTAAAGAAGGGTAGAATTTAGAAACAGAATACAGTTTTGCTACGAACATAGAATGGAACAAAAAAAAAATAAATAAATAAAAAGAAATATTGTAATGGCAAAAAAGATTAACTTGTATTTCATTCACATTTTTCTTTCCTTTAAAAAAAAAAAAAAATCTCTACACAAATTCATAATCGAAACATAACTTTAATCTCTATATACTCCATGTTTGCAAAGCAATTTGATAAGCTTTGATTGGTTTTCCATTATTTTTATTTTACAACTTAATATGAACAAATATTAGAACTATCATACCACATTTTATAACATGTGACACACCATGTTGTCATTTCTATTCCTTATATTAGAACTATCTGCATTTCAAGTAACATAACATGCAACTCCAGGTTACAAATCTGAAACTAGAATACTGAAAAATGCTTCTCAAATTACATCGAACAAATTGGCTTTATAGGGCATGCAAAAAAACAACTCATTTTAGATTCTTGTAATAGAGTAATTAAGGTTTTACTCCATATAATGAGCTTCCTCTCTTGCAAGAATTCATTGAAACTTGGGCATTTGTTCTTCTTGTAGTTGTTTCTTCTATTGGTCTTGTTGGTTGTTCTTTGTGGATTTATCTACAAAGAGGACATCATCAATCCAAGCAACAGTGTTGAATGCCAAACCTTCCAACACCCTTGAGTAGCTCTCTAGGATTGCTTGCCCCACATCCTATAAAATTGCAACACTTCATTACTTCTCAAAGTAATACTCACATCAAAAAAAAAAGAAAAAAGAAAAAAGAAGAAGAAGAGAGTAATATTCACACAAACATGTAAAATCTCACAACTGTATACCATGGTTTGTTAATTTTAAACAAGACGATTGTCACACAATAGTAATATTACAAACACATAATTTTTACAAAATGCAGTTTTGCCAGTACTGCATTCATCCCAGTGAAGTGAGCGTGTTGGCAACAATGTATTTTGTGCATTTTTCAATTTTTTGTTTGTTTGCTTGTTTGTTTGTTGGTGTGTGTGTTTTCGGAAAATAAAACAATGGAAAGTTTGAAAACATCTATCATTTTTGTGCAAAATGGTTTTTGGAAATTCAAAAACAACTTTTTAGTATTTTTGAAATAGTGAGTTGTTTTCAAAAAAATATTTCGAAAATAGTTTTCGGAAACAATTCCCCAAAGAAAAAAAAATCAAAAAATGAAAACACAACCAAACACTATTTTCTGGAAGAAAAAAAAAATTGAGTTTCCAAAAAAAACTACTTTTGATATATATATATGTATATGAAAAAGGCCTTCATTTTAGGAAACAACAAAAGTGAAAACATGAAACCGATAAGTGTTTTGGACCTTTTTAATGTTTTGTTTCCAAAAACACAAACCCAAAAAAAAAAAACATAAGCAATTGGAAAATGCACTTTTGATTCATCACTTCAACGTATCAATAACCATAAAAATTACACATGCTTACCTTATTGTATTGAATCTTGCATGTATCCAAGCTTGTTTGTGAAAGTTCAGGGTACCTCTGCTTCAAACAGAACAACAAAACCTCTGCTCTCTCTGCTAAAACTTGGTTTTTGTCACTTCTATCAATGTCAGACATGAAATCCTTAACCATGTCCCATGACGATTTTGAATGGCTCATGAATGCTTTACGCCTCCATGTATACATCGATTCTTCGACTCTGTCTGCTAGCTCGAGCGCTTCATGCTCTGAGCTCATGTTCAGACAGTCGAGCAGATAATCGGGGGAGAATTTGTCTACAACACACATGTATCGGTAGATTGTATCGCCTAAACTCGCTTTTCCACTCTGAAAACAAAATTTTCCCACATGGCATGTGAAGTCAGAAAATTTGCTAAACTAATGCAAAGAAGGGTGGAATTTAAAAACAGAAAACGGGTTTGATACAAACACAGAATGGAACACAAAATACACATAATGGGATGAGTTTTATTATCCGTCATATATGTATTTTGTGTCTGAGTCTCTGATCGATTTTTTGTATTTCTGATCTTATTCAACAGAAAAATGGATAGAATCAAAGCATGGTGGACTAACCTTAGGAAGTGATGCCATATATGAGTCAGGAATTTCCATCTCACATAGGATTGTACCATTGATAGCCATGGCAGCTTTGTGAATTTGATTCGCGCAATCGCGCTTTTTTCGCAAGTGTTTCCTTGATTTCTCAGAGAGGCCGTCAGGCGGAACACAAGGCACGGGAAGCCACCACTTTTCCTCTTTACGCTGAGGATGAATGACCCGTCTGAATGAACCAGTACGCGTTGAATTACCTGACATACTTCCTTGTTCTGCATACCAAAACTCAGTTTCTTGGAAGCTATCCAACATGTCCTGTTTTTTAAGAAAATGAAAACAGAGTTAAAACAGGGTTACTCTGTTTAAACAAGTTTTATGTGTTTTTTTGAAAAATGAAAACATAAAACATAAAATGAAGAAAATAAAACACAGACAAACATCACTTTCCTTTTTATAAAAAAAAACTTGTTTGGCAAACGGCTTCCTAAAATTATTTTTGAGAAAATTTCATGAAAAATCAAACTCAATTTAGGAAACAACAAAAGGTGAAAAATGATATGAAATCGAAATTCGTTCTGGAACTTTTCATTGTTTTGTTTCCGAAAACACCCACACACAAAAAAAATAAAAACAAATAAATGAACACGGTTTAACCGAAACACAACCAATTGAAAAATGCAATATGATTCATTATTGCAGGGTGTTAATGCACACCCCTGTTTGGAGACAGAGTAGCTCTTTTTCTGTTTCAAGAGAATGAAACTTGTCTTACCACAAGCATCGAGTCTAGCTTTCTCAATGCAGGGAGGTTGATGTAAATGTCTGATCTCGGTCTGCTTTCCATCACCTGGAAAAGAAAAGACGAATCAACACCTTACGCTAAAACACGCGAAAATGGTAAAATTCATAAGTACCCTTTTTGAAATTTACAAGATTCAAAAAAAAAAAAAAAAAACCTCAACCGCCGTTCCATCATGTAAATTTTGTGATGTGGTTGGGATGAATTCGACGACGTAATCACATACGGATAGAAGGCAATTCATTTCCCTTTTCCACATCAACTTGTTCTCAGGATTTAGAGGTTCTAATTTGAGATGGTGACCAAACACAGAAGCTGCAGCATACAACATGACTAGAAAATGAGATAGAACCACGGTTTTAAATAACAGTATCGGGAAATGTATCTATATCAGCTATACGATCATAGGACAGTATCAGCCAATATATTAGTAATTTATCGGTATAAGGTCGGAAAAAACATACCATAGAGGTTGGTTATGGCATTAGAAATCGTAACAGCGGTGCAGACACCTTTCCCACTTCCGGACATGTCTTCACCGAGCAAAAGCTTGGAAAATCTTTCCCTCATCGTTTCAAGTTCTGGGAAGTGTTTTCACAACAAGATCAGCAATCCTGTATTTCTTTGAACTCTAATTTTTTTTTTTTTAACATAAGAATTTACCCGAAAGCTCACCTAAATCCACCGGCTCGTTATCGTCAGGTTTGTCGCCCAACCGGCTCGTTTGCTGCCCGATGCCCAGTCTGCTAAGAATAGGAGTTTTTCTCAGCGGCCAGAGCGGGGATGGTGTTCCCGGGCTGCTTTGGTCGTCAGTTGGCTGCGAGCAGCCTGACATCTCAGAGTTTGTTCTGCAGTATGTGAAAGAATCTGTGCTCATCGTCCAAAACCCAGTAGTTCCAGAGGGTGAATTGTCAGTTTGATCCACGGAAGAAGGTGAAGCTTGATAACCCAGATCATAATTCTCATCCGAATTAGACAAGTTGTCCATTTTTTGAGACTTTCTCTTGAAGGACTTGGTTTAAATACTCAAATCTGCATATGGTAATGAAAATGTCACAAAATGATTAAACCTGTTCCAAAATTTCTAATGATTCGAAAATATTTTTGAAGAAAAGTGGTTGGAGTTCATGGCTATCTAACACGACAACCGTGACAGAACTCGGTCTCGAAGACTAGCTGTGGAGGTGAAAGTGTTCTCACGCTTATATACTGTATATTATTTTCATACTCAAGCAAGCATGTTTACTTTGAAAAAATTGAAATTAGTTTAACGAAAATAAACACTAAAAAAATATTTTAACATTTTTAAAAATTATATGAAAATAACAAGTGGTCTTTGTTTTTTATCATATCAAACTAATTTCTATTTTTTTGAAGGAAAAAAAAGAAAAGAAAAGAAAAGAGAGAATATTTTGGAAAGGAAAAGGAACAGGGTGAATATTTCTCTCCCTCTCTCCCTCTCTCTCTCTCTATATATGGTATTTACTTACAATAACTACCCTTGAATCAACTTGTATTACAGAGTTCATTCATGAAAAAGCAAGACAAATCTTTAGGAGAAAAAAGCAAAAAAAAAAAAAAGGTCTATCATGTGTCATTGTTACCTGAAAATTTTGAATAATTCAACTGAAATTTGCAGGAAAGCATGAATGTGTAAAAAAGCAAAGTGAATAACTAAAATTTGAAAATTCAAAGGCAACGGTTTTCAGAAAAAGTAACGGTAAATCAATTATTTATGTTACCTTTAATAGAGCAAGATTTGAATTTGAGCCGTTAAAAGCCATTGAAGTTCCGTTTGAAACCTTCCCTCCCTCCTATGAACTCATGAAACCTTTTCTTTTTCTTTCCAAAAGAAGTCTACTTTCTTTGAACAAACAAGAAAAAAACACCATGATCATCAACAACAACAAATTCTAGCCGTCCGATTGCAAACCCGTCTTTATCGATTCAAATAAGACCAACCCAGTTGCTAAAATAGCTGATAGACAAGATCTGAAGAGAATTTTTGCGTGCTGACTTTCAGACTACATAACAAAACCCTCCCAAGAAAGCTTTAGAAGTGGAAGGATATTAATATTGATTTTGATTGAATAAGGATAATGAGGAATAGAATGTATATATATAAAATTGGAATAATGGAGAGAGAATGTGGTACTCGAATTGTATTGATTGTATGATGATGAACTCAAATGATTCACATTTTTTATAATAAGACTTTCAACTTCTGGATGTGCATGAAATGGTCCCACAGATGCTTCCATCTAGTTCAGAACTTTTGCACTTTCTTCAAAGAAAATGATGATTTTTTTTTTTTTTTCTCTCTTTTGCTTTTGCTTCTTTTATTATTTTGTGTTTTTATTAGTAATAAAAGAATAATAGTATATAAAATATGTATTCAGAATGATACAACTGCTTTGTGACTAGTCATTTTAAAACATGATATTCATTCAAATGACATTTAATTATTGAAATGTCGAAATATTCTATATTAAAATTATGAATAGAATAGCATTTTTCGTAATTAATTATCTATTAAAATGACATTTAAATAGTAAAATATCACTTTCACTCCGGTGAAAAATTATGTGCACAAATTAATGCTATTTTTTGTAATGAAAGAAAAAGAAAAAGAAAAAATATTTAGAGTAACGCTATACAAATAGAATTTTTTTCATACACGATAACATGGCTTTTTATGATCATTTCATTTCAACTCAAAACATCCGAAAATTATCTAGTAGGTCCAAAACACCACTGTCTGTATGTCCGTCCAATGATATTCTATAATTTGTCCGCCATGTCCTTAATTTTTGGGCCATATACTCATTTAGCCTCATGTTATTCGTTAGGTATCCAGCCAACATGAAATTCCAAAAAGACAGAATAATTTCTTCAAAACTTCTATTATTGTGACTTATAATGGCAACAATAGCACATCATTTAATTGATGTATTTTATGTATACAATATATTTTATAAGATGTGACAGTGTATTAAAATATTTAAGGCAATACTTTCTTTCTCATGTAATCTCTAATGTCAATCATCTCTTTTACACATAATTGAATATTAGAAATTAATTTAAAAGGTAGAGTTGTATATTGTTTTCTTTTGTAAATTATTTTTCGTTTAATTATTATTACATTAAAGGTGTGTCCAAATTGCATGTTCTTGGGAATTTAATATGATGTGTGGTAGTTAGGTCTGTCGGAGGTTAAGCTTCAGAGGCATGTGAAATATTTCACACTTGAAAAAGACAATAAAACCTCTTCTTCTTTGAGAATGAGGTCGTGACATAGACGTGCTTGCCATTAAATGGAGACTTAGTGACACTTTTGTTCTATCCATGGCATATGGAGGTATCATACAATTAACGCAATTGAAAAATCTTCAATTAGGTCAAGCACTTCTATTATAATTTAATACATTACCTACTTTTGGGTGCAAGACAAAAATAAAAAAAATAAAAATCATAGTTTAGAAAAATAATTATAATAAAATTGTACCCCAATGTACAAAATTCATACTTATAGTAAAGTTTGAGACTGATATTATTAAACAATTATCTGTCTCACAGCCACAAGGGGTTGGTTGGATGGTCAAGACTTGGGATCTAGGGTATGCTCTCTTCAAGGTCTTAGGTTTAAAACTTTCTAAATGCAAATAATTCTTTGAGACTAGTTCATACGGAACTTTGTTCCGTTTTAATTGGTCCTTTGAATTAGTAGGTCCAATAGGCCGAACACTGAATTATCAAAAATACAATTGTCTCCCTCACTTCATTCTCAAATCATCAAATAATTGGATGTTACTCTCTGGATGCATTCAAGAAAGAAAACTTTTGTCCTCTAATTTTAGTTTGTCAATTTCTTGTTATTATGTTTATAGTAGAATTGTCAGTTATGATTCAACTTTGTCTTGGGTAAGTGTTTGTAGATATTTCGTGTGCAGTACTCCTGTGTTATCAAACTTGTCTAGGTCCTTCATGTTCGACTTCTATTAGGTAGAGATTCTTATAATCACACCTGATGAGAGTTGTTTGATCACTCTTTTTTCTTTTTTCTTTTTTCCCTAATGGAGAAAAAAAAAGAGAATAAATTCTATACTTGGAGCCATTCTTTTGGAGGATTTTAGGAGGCTCTCTGAATCATTTGGAAGAACATTTTTTTATAATATCCCATTGAAGTTTCACTCTTGAGGGGCTTTGACCTTTTGTGGTATGATCATAGAAGAGGCATTGCCGTTGTCATAGTGGTCTTCACCCACTAAGGGAGTCTCTGTGCCTGCCTCCATCTATCAGCCCACCTCAGTGCCTTGCTCCCCCAAGTATTCATTTGGAAGAGCACTTTATATATAATAGAAAAGTCTATGAACCATGAAAGAGTAATCAAAAAATGCTCTAGAATTTGAAATGGAGGGTGTAGATTTAATCTTCTCTTTGTGGAATCACTCCACGAATGAATTATGGCCTTAGATTGCACATTCTGGGTAATTTTTTGATCCATTTTTTTTGGGTTTGCAGACCTCTTGATATATAGTTGTTAGCATTCTACATCAGATACAAATGATAACATGATGAATTTATAAGACGACGACGATATATTTAACTTAAAGATGCCTTCTGGGCTATAGCTCTGTTTTTCCTTTCATTTTCTTTTATCTCAACAAATTCAGCATTGAAACACAACCCAAAGATTTTTCAAAATTTTGAAGAAGAAAAAAATCAAATTTAAATATTTTGTTCTGGACTAATTTAAGAGCCCTTAGCTAGTGTTGGTTGATGGATTCACATTTTTTTTTTTTTTTTTTCCCCTAATGGAGAAAAAAAGAGAGAATAAATTCTATACTTGGAGCCATTCTTTTGGAGGGTTTTAGGAGGCTTCTGAATCATTTGGAAGAACATTTTTTTATAATATCCTACTGAATTTTCACTCTTGAGCGGCCTTGACCTTTTGTGGTGTGACCATAGAAGAGGCATTGCCTTTGTCATAGTGGTCTTCATCCACTAAGGGAGTCTCTGTGCCTGCTGCTTCCATCTATCAGCCCACCTCAGTGCCTTGCTCCCCCAAGTATTGATTTGGAAGAGCACTTTATATATAATAGAAAAGTCCATGAACCATGTAAGAGTAATCAAAAAATGCTACAGAATTTGAAATGGAGGGTGTAGATTTAATCTTTTCTTTGTGGAATCAGTCCATGAATGAATTATGTCCTTAGATTGCACATTCTGGGTTATTTTTTGATCCATTTTTTTTGGGTTTGCAGACCTCTTGATATATAGTTGTTAGCATTCTACATCAGATACAAATGATAACATGATGAATTTATAAGACGACGACGATATATTTAACTTAAAGATGCCTTCTGGGCTATAGCTCTGTTTTTCCTTTCATTTTCTTTTATCTCAGCAAACTCAGCATTGAAACACAACCCAAAGATTTTTCAAAATTTTGAAGAAGAAAAAAATCAAATTTAAATATTTTGTTCTGGACTAATTTAAGAGCCCTTAGCTAGTGTTGGTTGATGGATTCACAAGAGCGAAGGAAAAGATGAACCAACAAGCACATAAAACAATGAAGCCAAAGGTCACATACACTATCCATATTACAACTCAATTGCCTTTAAACTTGCTTTTGTTTGTCATTAGAACTTGTATTTTCACAGAAAAACAAGAACCTCCTCCATGGGATTCTCCAGAGATTCATGAATCTCTCGCATATCGATTGCCCTAATTCTTGCTCCTCTTTGACAAATATTCTTTTTTCCGTAGAATCTTCTTTCTGCAAAATCACAGTGGTCATATATATTTTCTTGTTAACCTAAAAGTTCAAAAAACATTCATCATAGAAAGAAACAAATAGAATATATGTCTAAGCAATCTTACATTAGGGATGAATTTGAGCCCAATCTTTATTTGTCCTTTGTAGGTGTCATCTTCGAGCACTACATTGTATGGAGTTGGTCTTATTTCTACAATTTTCTTGTCATTTCCCTCCACAATTAACCCTCGGAGATAAACTCTACAATGCCGAAAGATTAATTAATTAATTAATAATAACAAATAACAATATTAATACAGTTACGCGACAAAAATCTGAAAAAACACAAATGGATTTTAACAAACCCCATTTCGCGAACAAATGGATGTTCATAATCACCATAAGTAAGCATTATTGCACAAACCCCATTATACATATCTCATCAAATCTCTAAAAAAAAAATTAAATGCCATGTATTCGAATGTACTATGTTCAAAATTATGACTACCAATTGTATATTCATCCATAATAATTTTAGATACAAAATAAATAAATCAAACCCTAAATTTGTGATCATTTTCACAAATGCAAAATTTAGGTTAATAAAGACTACGAAAGCATTATATGGACAATGATTAACAAAGAAAAAATTTGAAAGTATGAACATGCTACTGAGTTAGAACTATTTACATGGTTTCACCAACAAATCCACCATCAGTGAAATATTCCTTGTCCATGATTTTGAATTTAAGGTGACTCATGTTTTCCAATTCAGTAGGCGGAAATTCAAATGTGAATTTTTGGTTCCAGTATATTTCTTTTTCTTTGTGATTACCTGCACCAATGAATTTTGTATAACTAGGCTATAATCAGAGCATATTAGCATCGAGAACAAGAAAAAAACGAAGAAAAGATCATCAAGAACTGGACCTTTCGAAATTTTGCTTCTTTGCACTTGAGTTCCACATTCAACGACGACATAATAGGCTGGTCTCCCTGTGAACATAAGGTTCCAATTAGAACAAAACATAGAGAAAAATATTCCAAATGGAGAACCAAAATGAATTCTACACCCCATGTGAATTGCATAGACATTGCATCTATGATCAACTAAAAGAGAGACAGAGCATGGTTTTAAATAACGGTATTGAGATAAATATTAATATCAATGATACAGTCATATATTGGCTTATGTCAGACAGTATCAAAAAATATATTAGTGAATATTGATATTAAAAAGTCCAAAATCTCGATACATATTGGCTGATATTTAAAACCCAGAGACAGAGAGAGCACCAATAATATTGGTGTGTCTAATGCCTTTTGCACCAATAACAAGTACTTCAAGTATTCTTTCTTTCATGAGAACAGGACATGAATTAAGCAAATAGGGAAAAGATCTCTACATATTTATGTTGGAACAAAGAAATTAATTATAAACAGGGGTTACGATAGTTAATTTATTAGCTTTCAATTAGTTATTAATCCTTTACTTAAGCCACTACAAAATATAACAGCACATGCGATAAATATGTAAATTCTTATTTACTTCAGAGAAAGAAGGGTGGGAAAAGAGATAGTAAGAACAATTTGTTTTCAGAGGTAGAATGGAGGGGATTGATTGTGAGGGGATTAAGTAAAATTGTATTTGTTTTGATGATAGTTGTTAGTATAGGAATTGTTAAATTATTTTTATATAAAATAATGAAACAAATAAAAAAATATAAAAAATTAAACATTAATATTTAAAAAAAAATTCCCAATATATAAAAAATAAAAAAAATTTCTAATTCCCTCACTATTTTTCTAATACCATCTCCACCTCCTTCATTTCAATCCCCCTTCCAACCTCCATCTATATTACCTCCTCCATCCTAATCCCCTCCCCAACTCTACAAACAAACACAACACTAAATAACCCCACCTCTATCCTAATCCCCTCCCATCTATTTAACCCCAAAACAAATGGGCCTATCTTCTCAGAAAGGTGAAGGAAGGGGTTAGAGCTCCAATCCAAATCCTCTACTAGCCACTATAAAATATAACTGTATACACAAATTGGCTTAGAAAGGATAAAATATCGCACCCTCATGAATTTCTTTCATAGATATATGGTGTGTTGCATTGTGTACATACAAAACCCAACTAGGATATGAACCGGGGCATAAAATTCAAAAAGCAATCCAGCAGAAGAAAATGAAAAAAAAAAAAGAGTATGATTTTTCGTTTAGAAAATAAATTCTACAAATTATTTCCAGTTTTTTTACAAATAGTTAGAAAAACAAAATTAAAACTGTTGAGAGAATAATCAATTGCAGTTAATCTTTCTCATAGTATGCATGTTATGAATTGGCTTCAATTATACTATATCCTGTTTCCTTCCTCAATCCCTTCTTGTCTACCAATTTCCGCATCCTTTCCACATCTTCCCATCTACACTGCTCTGCATACAAGTTCGACAAAACCACATAATAACTAGTATTTTCTGGGTCCAAGCAAACGAGCTGTTCAACCACAAATTCTGCAATCTCAATGGACCCACAAATTGATCTACAACCAGCAAGAAGAGCTCCCCAAATTCTGTTATCAGGCTCAATAGGCATACTTTTCACAAATTCAAGAGCATCTTCTACATGTCCTTGACGACTAAGCAAATCCACCATACAAGCATAGTGTGCAAGTTTTGGAGTAATACCATATATCTTTTCCATGGCATAAAACCAATTCCAACCTTCATTCTCTAACCCACAATGACTACAAGCAGATAGAAGAGAAATAAAGACCACCTCATTGGGTTTTATCCCGCAATTCAACATGTTCGAGAAAGTCTCTAGAGCTTCATTACCATACCCATTTATCCCATAACCGTTGATCATTGAACTCCAACATACAAGATCTTTTATTAGAATCTCATCAAAAATGGCCTTTCCTTGCCTTATCCTTCCAAATTTGCAATATAAATCAATCAATGCTGATATTAAAAATGCATTTGATGAGTAGCCGGCTTTAGTCATATGTGCATGGATGCTCTCCCCGAGCTCTTGAACTCCCATGGAAGAGCAACCTTGTAATACACTCACGAAAGTGATCTCATTTGGTTTCTCGTTTGTTGATTGCATCTTTTTAAAGGTATCTAAAGCTTTCAAAGAATGTCCACTTTGTGCATATGCCGAGATCATGGCACTCCACGCGATAAAATCTTTCTTTTGGATCTGACTAAATAAAATCCTAGCAGACCCAATTTCACCAAACTTTGCATACATTTGGAAAAGTGCAGTCATGACTGAAACAAAAGCCAAGAATCCACTTTTTAGGATGTACCCATGAAGTCCCATACCAAAAGTAAACTTTTCTTCTTCTCCACATGCTCCAATTGCATCCAAGATTATAACTTCATCGGGTTTGAAACAACAAGATTGCATCCCGGAGAACATATTCAATGCTGCTCTTGGGCATTTGTTTTCGATACACCCATGAATCATAGTCCTCCAAGAGACAAGGTCCTTGTTTTCAATTCTATTGAAAACTTGAATGGAGGTCTCAGGATATCCACATTTTGCATACATATCTACAAGTGAGTTTTGAACATTGGTAAGAAAATAATATTGTGTTTTTATTGAGAAACCATGTATTTGCTTGCCAAATGACAAAGTGGCAAGAGCACCACAAGCAGGTAGTATGCTTACAATGCTCACATGGCTCGGTTGGACACCATTGTATTGCATTTCTCTGAAAATCTCAAAGGCCTCAATGTGTTGCCCACTCTTCGTGCATACCGAAAGCATTGCATTCCACAAAACCATATCTTTATCGGGCACCTGATCAAACAGCTTCCACACAATTTCAACATCCCAACTAGAGTAAACACCTAGAAGGGTGGTTACAACCGACATTTCTGATTCAAAACCCATTTTTATCAACAACCCATGAATTACCCGCGTCATATTTTCAAAACCAGAAGCCCCAACAGCCCGTACGACGCTCAAAATTGTCACATAATTTGGCCTTTGCTCACTTAAAAGCATGGTTTTGAACAACCCAATGGCCTCTTCGGGCTTATCTCTCCTCACCAAGCTGGAGATTTTTGAGGTCCAAGATATAACACTTCGATTTTCACCGAAAAATTCAATTGGGTCTTCAAAATACGAATGGGTTTTAAACAATGTACTCTGTGAGAAACAATGTATCGAGTTCCGCATAAAATGGCACCATTGGGTCGTTTCGTCGAACAGTTTGTGTGCCTTTCGAAAAAGAGGATACATCTGATGAATTCAGAATTATGATTTTCTACAGATATATAGATGGAAAAGAGGTTTTACCGTTGTGGGTCTGAGAAAGTTATCAGCATAGAGGACACAGAGCAAGCTCATGTGAGAGAGAGAGAGAGAGAGAGAGAGAGAAGTCGTGAATAGATTTCAATGGACTGACCCGATTTTGGGTAAACGGCTGAAAAGTCGTCATTGTAAAACACAAATGGAAAATTCTAATATACACTCATTTAAAAATTCTGTACATGTATTTTTATTTATATTATTTTTTCAATTATGGTTAATTTTTTTTAGTTATGTTTCATAATTTTTTTTTAATTATGTCTCATATTTTATTTAATTATTACATTTGTTTTTTTTTAATTATGACTAAGAAAATTAAAATTAAGCATTTTTTCAAAGAAAATTATGAATTTTTATTGTGAAAGTTACAAATAATAAATTTAGAATGTATACATTAAAGTGAAATTTATGAACTATTATAGTTTATGTTATGAACATTGTGATTAAATTATAAATGATGCGGTGTAAATGATATGAATCATATGTGATGAAAAGAGAGTTGTAGGGACTTAATTTTGAGTTATCCACGTGGCCTAAGTGGTTAGCCAAGATGCTACGTAAGTGATTTTGATTGGCTGAGGTGTGGTCAAATCGTATGCAAATTTGAGATGTTCAAATGATGGATTAGAGTCCTAGATGATGACAGACTCTCCATTTGAACAAGGTTGTACTCTTGAGAGGTTTGATCTTAATTCAAATAGAAAAATTCTTGGATAATTGATATCATTGTAAAGAATAGAGTTTCATGAAGTAAGACTTTTAGGGGAAATTAGAGACTTATCATTATAAAAGTAAGGCATCCCAGGGGTTTGTGATTTATTTTGTGAGCTCTTGATTTGAGTTGATATCTTATGACATAAGTTACTGACTGTAGACACCCCATTTTTGACCATTCGCAAGGCTCGGGTGCTTTGTCCGGTACACTCGATGATGAAAATGGTGTTGTGCATGGTTTGAGGTCTCAATGAAGGGGCTATGTTTAAGCTCCAAAAAAATTCCAAACCTTCCATGTTCCTACAGTTTGTACCTCAGAAATCCATTTTTATACATTTTGCTATCCTATACTGAGTTTGCAGCAGAGAGGTAGGGGATCACATTGAGGCCCGGTCGTGCCTCATTGGGAGCTGGCCGTGGCCATTTATGGCCGGCCATGCCTTGGTAGCGAGAAACATTGTTCTGGGAGGGAGCCCGCCAGCTGTCTATTGTTGAAGATATTTATGACCTATTTTGCTCAAATTCTATACAAACAAAGTTGTATCTCTATTTTGAGGGTTGAACAAATTCTAAACAGCTTATACACCTTCTTGAGAGCTCATTTTTCTTGTGCAAGCAACCTTTAAGCAAGCTTACTACCTTTAACTTATATCCATACACCATATACACATTCACACCTTAGCCTTAGAACCTTAGTTGAGCCTTGAGCATCACAATTCAAGCTTGGGAGTGTGTTTGGATTAAGTTTGATTCACAAACAAAGAGCTTACCTTTCTTGAGAGGTATAAGCTTACTATCTCCTCTCTTGCTCTCTTTGCTATCTCTTGCTATCTAGTTCTTGTATTTTTGTATTGTTTTGATCCTCTATTAAGTGTCTAAGCTTGGGTTTGTGTAACGGCCCCAAAATACGTGGCAAAATTACCTTTATTTTCTTATGAGTTAATGTGATTTAATTCGAAAGTCTCTGTCGAATTGGAAAAGTATCTATTGGGGTTACAACTCTAACACTGAAATTGACAGCCTTAATGGGTTCAGAAACCGGAATTGAGTATATGGATATGTTAATAGGAATTTTTAGAGCCATTTGGGTAGTTTAATTAAAAATTGATTTTGTCTGATTCGTAAAGGTGTGTTTGGCTCTCATTATTGAGGTAAGATATACGGTTATAGATATATATGTGATATGAGCTTATTTTGAGTGCAACCAAAAAAATCTGAAAAAAGAAAAGAGAGAGAGAGAGCCCTAGAGAGTTCAAAGAGAAGAAGGAAAATTTAGGAATCAAAGAAGAAACTCAAGATTTAGCTTGAATTTGTCAAGATTATGCAAGATCAAGTGTCTATGAAGGCTTTAGGTAAGGTTTGATCTCTTAAACCTTGAAGATTAAGGGTAAAAGAGTGTGTTTCATGGCTACATATAATCACTTGCATGTATTGTGTTTTATAAGTCAAAAAGATGTTGAATCTTTACATATATGGCATTATATCATGAAATTCATGTTTATAACTTGTTTGCTTGCAAGATTCCTAAGGAATTTTCCCATAGATTTTGAAGCTTGGAACTCAAATTTGTTTATTCTATGATTTTGCACTTGAAGTTAAATGTTTTGATCCTTTAAGTGGAAATTGGGTTTGTTAAGAAGTTATGAGTTTTGTTTAAAGTTAATGATGTGTGTCAACATCTTTTCATGAGTTTTGGGCTTTGAAATGTATGGAATGGAGTTTGGATTTAGAAAAAAATGAATTCCAAGTGAATGAACCATTTTCAAATAGTTTTTCAACCCAGACCGCTCGAGCGGCCACCAAGCCTTGATCGTCCAAAATTGCCTTCTGCTTGACCATTGCTCGTGCGGCCAAGGCCACTACACGAGTGGCCAGACCACTGCACGTGCGGCCAACAGGGTAGATCCAACCTATTTTTTTGGCTCTGTCTTAGATTGTTGGGCCTCTATTTGCGTGGTTTTCATGTGGTTTCCATGGGCATTCACATCTTATAAACATGAAGGAAATTAAGAAATGAAACAGAAAGATTAGTAACGAGTAATTGAACTAGTGAAACTAAATATTAAACCATTGTGCTCGTCTGTGTTTATATAAGTCAAATGCCGCACCCTAGCCACGTGCCCCACAGAACGAACTGTGAGTAACAATGTTGTAAAGATATGTTTGAGTTATTCTTTCTGACTATTATTGTTATTGTTAAGAATTATTTCTATAGTGACATAATTTACTGAATAAATGAGTATATCCCATTTCATGCAATACACTCACGTGGCCTATACCCGGGGGTAACAATACAGTGGTTATGTTCACGTGGCCCATACCCGGGGGTAACAATACCGCGATCTACGTTTACATGGCCCTTACTCGGGGGTAATAATACCGTGATACATGTTCACGTTGCCCTTACCCAGGAGTGACAATACCGTGGTATATATTCACGTGGCCTTTATCCAGGGTTGACAATACCGTGATATATGTTCATGTGGCCCTTACCCAGGGGTAATAATACTGTGGAATATGTTCAGGTGGCCCTCGCCTGAGGGTAATAATACCATGGCTTTATGTAGATAAGATATTGGTTTATATAATCGTCTGTACCAACTGTGATCTTATAGACCGCTACATGTACACGTAGCCCTTATGACTGCTATGCTTGCATTTAACGAACATGCTACAGTAACTGATTGATTTTAATGTCTTCATCCATAACTTCTTTATGCATTTGTTATTCACTAGGCTTTAGCTCACTGTTTTTATGTATATGTATAGGTGAGCATTCTGGAGGACAAGCCTAGGAGGGGTCTTTAGCCGAGCCACCATTTTGAAGCTTATTGGGTTTTGGTGACTCCGAGTTAAGGCTAGGCCGTGATGACTGTTAGCAAGTGTTGGTCCCGGTTCCTTCATGTATGTGTTTTGAATAAGATGTTATAAGATATGTATATGTATTTGGATAAATTAACGTTTATGTATGTACATGTTTGTTCATATAGATGCACAGCTCATTGGATGATTGCTATTGTTGTATATTACTTCTGCTAGGCTCGTTTATTTTTTATCTGTACAGGAAGGCCTTTGGTAATCTCGGATTACTGGCCGGTTACGATGCCGAACTTCTAGGGACGGGTTTGGGTCGTTACAGAGTGGTATCAGAGCACGAGTTAATTTACCCACACACGTGTCCAAATGAGCTGTAAGGTGTTCTAGAAAAGAATTAAGGACATTGCATTGGCTTGTGTGAGTGTGTGAACTGTTATGAACATGACTGACAAGGAAATGAAGATGAATTATGTGAACTTTGTGAATACATCTGAAAATGAAATGAAATGAATGCATGCGAATTGAAAGGCGTATATTTGAACTGAACTGAAATCTGTGAAAACTGTAAGGAATTATTGGCCTATGATTATGCGTGCTAGAAAGAACAAGGAACAAATTTGACAGGAATTGAACAATGTAAGAACTGTAAGAGTGTTGTCTATGTTTCTTAGTGTTCTGTTTACATATAGGAAGAAAATGAAAGAATGGTCAATGGAAAGTCCAAATGATGTGGACTGTGTGAATATGTTTGAACTGAAATGAGAACGTCAACTATGGGAACTATTGCCAGTGCTTATGATGATCTCTACCTAGATAAAACTAAATCATCAGAGGCTAGAAGTAAGTGGTTAGAAAGAAGAGTGAGAGTTTTAATTGAACTAAGGAGACAACTGACACAAATTATGTGCAAAATGTTTATATGGAATTGGAAATTGTACACTTTTGACTGAAGATGTATGTATTGTGAACATACACTTTGATTTTGAATGCTCTTAAGAATTAACCTACTGAATAAAATGGTTAAATTGCATGACCTACACAGTTGTGTGGCATCCGTAGCTTATGTGATTATTGACTGATCAGTCTCACCTAATGTGTTCTAAACCATGTGTGAAAGAACCAAATGGCTAATAACCGGTCACTTTATTGTGTCACATTACCAAATCGCGGTTGGCTTTTATTATATCTGGAAGAATTATGCAAGCATTGATGACTCGCTTCAATATGTATCTTAAATTTGGAGAATATGTTGGGTTAGTCCTTTACTCCGTATTTAGACAATTGAATATGAATTTTTATGATTGACATTTAGAACTTTGTTGGAAATGGATAGATATGAGAACATATGTACGTCTGGAACTAGGACTTCAGTGAAATATTGTACTGGGTCAATGATATGTGCAGTAGAACAGAAAGAGTGATCTGAGCACGGGAAAACTAAAATTCTAACAATGAGAAATGCTTATTAAGGGAGGATATTTGTACTTACCCTAGGAAAGCACCTTTCCAGTTATGACTAATTATAACTCTGAATATGATGCCGAATCTTTTGACTTTCTCTTTGGATGTATATACTTTTACGTAGAATGATGGTT